GGTTCTGCAAACAAAATGACAATGGTGAGATACACTTTTTGAGAGAGCAAGAACATAAAGAAATGTGAAATGAAAGCTAACCTGGATCAGGGGCCTCAGGGCTTGGAATCACTGTTGGTTCATCATCAACTCCATTAACCATTTTTGCATTAGAATCTGCCTCATCTTGCTCAACATACCTAAAGACATCATTCAGAACAAAATAGCCTTTGTCTTGCGGAGCAAGGAAAAACGTCTGCGTGAACTTCCTTTTTAAATTGTCCTTTCCAGTTAAACAACCAGTTACCAAAACAATCACCCCACCATTGTAGGAATTCTGAGCATCTGCAGTTTTTATCTCTGCATCATAGTTCTCGTAATCCAAGGAACGTATCTTATCATTAATACGCTGGTATAACATTAAAAAAAAAAATTCAAATGTTGCAGGACAGTTGGGTCAATGTTAAGAATTCGGGTAAAAAGAATGCCTGAATAGTGAATACTAACTAGAAATAGAAAAGGAAGGTTCATATAAGGCAAGCCACAAGGAAATTAGTTAGGGTGTCAAAAGCAAGCCTCCTTTAGACAAGACAAAAGCTTAATCGCTTGTACTCAACTACTTACATCCATGGTTGTCACAGATGTCATAGAACCATCAGGATCTGGGCGACTTAACACACTTGACTCCTGATAAAATCTGTAGACCTGGTCTGGTGAGTGGTGGAGAATAAGGTAATATTGTTCCACAAACGCATTTCCAACCAATTGTGCACTAGGTCCAGGAACTGTTGCCGGTGTTGTAGTTTGCATCGCCATTCTAAAAAAAAAAATCAAAAACAAGAAAACTGCTACAAAAAATTGCTTCTATATTTTAAGAACACAAGTACAATGCAGCTCAATTGCAATATCTTGACAGCTTGGCATAAACATAACTACGAGGATAGTTTTATAATTACTAGACTAGAAACAGTAGTTGTATTGTGGCAGTACACAAAGCTAACTTTTAGGCAACACTTGAAAACAAGTAACTCATGAACAAAGGGTGGGGGAGAGGATATAAATATATAATGATGTTGTCAAGATAAATCCAAAGTTTTTATGAAGAGGTTTTCAGTGGGAATGGTGGATTTGAAGGAATAAATAATTACTCTGGAGTAAAATTTTAAAGAACCAGGACTGAAGTACCCAAAAATTCCAGAGAACCCTAGAGCTGTGTATAGCAATTCCATTCTAACTACTTAAACGTTAAAAGGCAAAAAACAACAAAAAGAGCCTTAATATAGTAAAAATAATTTAAGTATCTGTGCAGAAATTCAAAAATTTACCCCTAATCGACAGATCTAATATTACTGCAAAGCTGGAACTCCAAAGAACAAGTTCAATCGATTTCTATAAGCAACAGTACAGATAATAAAAGGAAAACAAATGCAAATTCAATATAAGAGATTCCACATTCAAATATAGCTGGCAACACAAGCAAAACTGAGGCGAGTGAATGACATTCTTGGAATAAATCAAACAAGGAAAGAGTGAAGTCAACAAGATCAGTTCCCGTTGAGTCACTTGTAATTTGTAACCATAAAAAATTTGCAGTAATCTGGAAAATCATGATATTATCAAACTATTATTTACCTGAAATAGATGTTTTATAGGGTGGCGAAGATTTGTGATTCAGTTCAGCGGCTTGGCGAGAGAGAAAGTGTTTTAGTTCACAAAAAGAAGGAGGGGAATATTTCTGACTGGCTTATGCTTCAGCTTGGGAAAACAGTTGAAGTTGAAAGGTTGAACCCAAAGGTACGGTCAGGATTGTAACCATTGGACTCGTAAATTATTGAATGGATATATGTGTTAATGCTATTAAACAAAAAGTCACTTTTTTTTTAAAAAAGTAAACAAAAAAGTCACTTAATAAGGGGGAAAAGGTTAAAATTACTCATCGAACTCTATGTAAAAGTGTAATTAGATTATTCAATTTTAAAAGGTGCAGTTATGTTTTTAAATTGTCTAAATTATGTAATCCACCTAAATTTGACATGTTTCTCAAGTCATCACTAACGTAACAATCATCTTATTAAAAATTATTATTTTTTAATTTATTTTAATAATTTTAAATAAAATAAAATGTTTAAAAACGACTAAAAAAAATACACCCCTCTCTATCTTCGTCTCCCTGGTCTCCAACATGGGGACAAAGACGGAATGGGTTTTTTTTGTTATTTTATTCTATTTTATTTAAAATTATTAAAATAAGTTTTTTTAAAAAAATTGTTTTATTAGGATGACAGCTACATTAATGATGATTTGATAAATATGTCAAATTTGATCAAATTACATAATTCTAGACAGTTCAATGACCTAATTATATTTTTTAATTGGATAGCTAATTTGAACATTTGTCTTGAGTATCTATAAAATTGATTATATACAAGTATGGATGTATAATTACTTAGCAAGAGTTGATGTTTAGGAGAGAGCTCCTTATTAATTAATGGCAAAAATTTATCTGAAATTGTATTCTCTTAGACGGGTTAGGTTAAGATTAAATGTAATACTTATACTAGCAAATGTAATACTAAATTAGGAATAAAATGGTTATTACTTATATGGAAAAATGTAATATTTTTTAAGAAAAAGTGTAATACTTTTACATTTTGATGATAAAAGTATTACATTTTCCTTTATAAGCAACATTATTTATAAGGGAAAATATCATACTTTTGATGAAAAAAGTAAGACTTTCTACATCAAAATATAAAAGTATTACATTTATCCTCAAAAGTATTATGTTTTCCCTTATAAATAACAGACATTTTATTCTTGATTTAGTATTTCATTTGCTAGTATAAGTATTACATCTTTATATTGACTCAACCCGACTTGTCTCACGGATAAAGATCCGTGAGACGGTGTCACACAAGTGTGACCCTAATTTAATAAAGCACTTAAAAATGACTACAAAAAAAAAAAAAAAAAAGAAGGACAATGGAAAATAGAAAGGTTCACTGCTATGGGTGATCACGAACCGGATACGGTAACAACTTAATCAAAATTGAAGATATAATGATAGTTCTAGTTACGATTCAAAAAGGTTTCAGTTTCGTATTATTAAAATCGGGAACTGGAATCATTGGTTCATGTTCGAAACTGTGGGTTTTAGGGTTTTTGGATCCAATGAGGTCCAACACAACCGTAATTGGTGGATTCACCGATCAAATAAAGCTATGACCTTAAAAGAAATTAGACGCAATGATTTTTACGTGAAAATCGAAAGGTGAAAACCATAGGCCTTTTTGGGTGGTGCCAAGCCTAAAGACTTCACTATATTGTTGGGTACTGTACACATGTTATGGCTATTTTGTACATGTATTTCTGTAGAGTGTATAATTTGTACATGGAAGTAGAGTATTCTTCTTGATCTTCTTATTGGGAGGGTGAAAGAGTCTGCTCATGTGTGATGAGTGAATAGTGGTAGAGTCTTCTCTATGTGGAGATGAATGAAGTCTTCTTGAGTGAGAGCAGAAGAATGTTATCTCCTAGTATGAAGAATAATCTCTGATCCCCGTATGAGGAAGAGTGATGGAGTCTTCTTGTTTGGAAGAATGGAGAGCGGTTGTGGAAGAGTCCTTCCCTTTTGGGAGAGAATAATAGTTGGTAGAATGGAAGAGTCCTCACATGTGAAGATGATGGAGTCTTCTTGAGTGAGTTGTCTTCTTATGGGAGAAAGAATAGTAGGTGGGGGAAGAGTCATGTGAGTAGAGTCCTCCCCAGGTAGATGTCCCTCACTTTATGCTTCTTGAATCTTCTTTTATAGTAGTAGGATGAGATTATAGCTGTTAGACAATTAGTATGGAATTTATGGATGATTTTAATTGGGTAGTAAATAGGAGTTTATGTGGGGGGTTATGGATAATAATAATAATAATAATAATAATAATAATAATAATAATAATAATAATTAGGTAATTAATTAGTGGTAATGAATGGGGTAATAATAGGGTAATAATTAGGATATTTTGACAGGGTTTGTGTAATCCAATTGGGGTTAGGCGGTCCAACTAGGTCCAGATATCGAGTATCCATCAGAAACCATTCGGTTCTGGTTCTGAACCGAAAAATATATAATATAATTTAATTTAATAGAAAAGCTTGGAGATAGAAAATAGAATTAAAAAAAAAAAACAAAAAAACAAAAACAAAAAAAAAAGTTCGAACTGGCGGTTCAAACCAAAACCTTCTTAAAAGGTTTCAGTTTTGGTTTATCATTTCCCAGAACCGTAAATAGGTAGTTTGGAATCGGAACTGGAACCAAACCAAGGTCATATCTACACTGCACTTACTTCTCTTAATGCTCTAATCATTACTGAGATGTAATTAGGGATGTCAATGGGTCAGGGTGGATCATCAAGAACTACATCCATTACCCTACCTACCTTATACTTTCTCCACTCACCCCCCACCCTGACCCACAATGGTGAACATTTTCAAAACTCACACAAATAATAGGCTCCACCCGAGTGTGTGTACCCACTATAAATACCAACCACTTGTTATCTAATTAAATTTTTTAAAATAATATTTAAATTACTTAATATAATAAAATAATAAAATTCACTAGTCATATTAAAATATTAAATAAGAAAAATATTCAAATATTATAGCTAAATGGTTAATATTTAAAATTAAACTTATTAGTTTAGAACTAAAAATAGTAAAAGGTTGTTAAGCACCTTGTGCTCAGATGGCATGTAGTGACTCTTCAATATGGGAGGTCATGAACAGATAATACAATGTAGTAGAGTCACTAACCGATGAACTGGTTTAATTGATTTAGGACTTTAGGTAACCATATTTTTAACCGATTTTAGTAAAGTCCTAAACCAATTAAATCGGTTGAAACTGGGAAAGAAGAACAAAAGAAAAATATGAAGAGACAAAAATGCTCTTACTAAAAAGAAGAAAAGCCATGAGAATGACTAAAAGTGTCCAAAAAATAATAGTCTGGGATGTTAAATGACAAAAACGATATTCTGAGACTAAATTTAAAATTGTCACCAAAGACAAGGGACCTCTAGTGAAATTAACTCTTTTAAAAAGAGATGCTTAAAGTCTTTTAAAGTTTAATGGTGGCAATTTTGTAATTTTTTAAACAATTTTACGTGTTTTTTATTAAATAACTAGACTCGTAAAATCTACCTTAAAAGAGTTAATACCTGTTTTGGTCTATCAACTATGGAATATTATATAATTTTGTTATTGACTTTAAAAATTACTCAATTGTGTTATCTGAGTTTTAAAATCGCTCTTAATTTGGTCCTTCGTTAAAATTTTCGTTCGTCCAAACCCTTAAGGACAAATTTGAAAACTCACCTCCATTGGCACGTTTAACCTCAATTGAGTCCATAGTCGAGGGACCAAAACTCATAATTTTTTGGCATAAGGAAGAGAAGAAACGAAGAAGAAGAAACATGGTTGCAGTAGGCGCTAGGCGCTAGTCTGGCGCCCGGACAGCGCCTAGCGCCTAGGCGGTCTAGGCGGCGCCTAGGCGGAATCTAGGCGGGGCTAGGCGGGCGCCAAAAAAACAGTGGTAGACTTGCAGTTTGAAAATTTTAATGAGGTTGTTTTCAACATTTAATCAAATAACACACCCAAATAAATGAATTAATGATAATTCATAAGTCATAACATCAAAACAATGGTTTAAAAAAAATATTAAAACAATATTAAAAATTAAAAATACTCAAATACTTCAATCATCCAAAGATTCAAAGTATCAAACTAGTCTACGAGTGTATATATGTCATATTATATATATATATATATATATATATATATATATATATATATATATATATATATATATATATATATGCGCGCGCACACACACACACACATGTATAATAAAAAAATAGGTCGAGCCAATCGAGTTAACTCGACCAAAATGGACGAGTTAACTCGACTAACTTAGACGCTAGGCGGCCAAAACGGCCGAGTTAGGTGCTAGGCGGACGCCTAGGCGGGCGCCTAGGGGGAAAATCGCCACGGTCTAGCGGGCGCCTAGACCGATTTTTACAACCCTGAGAAGAAAAGAGGAAGAGGAAATGACTAAATTGCCCTCAAATTTTATTCATTAAAATTTTCCGACCACTTTTTGCCTGCAAATTGACCGGATGGATCGAAATTGATAAAAAATTGAATAGTTTGGGTACTCAATTGTTAGTTTGAAAGTCGTAGATTGAAATTAGCAAAACCCCAATATTCATAGGATCAAAAGTGTAATTACCTCAACTTATAATTATTGACTAAAATTATTACAACTAAGAAAGGTTCTTGAAGTGTTGGAGCTCTGATCTTAAGAATGACTAAGTACTCGTTGAGTTTGCTCGTAAAAGAATTATTAACTTTTGCAATCTTTTAACTTCGTAACTTATACATGCTTCAGGAGAGACTCTTTAAATATATAGTTGAAGGTCTTAGCTTGGAAAATTTGAAAGTTTGAAATCTCCACGTTGGCGGCTTTTGAAATGATAGGTGTCTAATTTCTGCCCTACTTTTCTGCAGCATGCCATTGACAGTTAGTAAAAACCATTTCCTTTTAGGTGAAAGGAATGTTTCTGATTTGTGTGTCCAAAAAGTATGTTTGCTTGTTGTTAGAAGATATATTGTTGTATGGTGTCGTTTGAGAGTATGTCTAACAACTCTTATTATTATAAAAGGACAAATAACATATTCATTGTACTAATCGTACATCTACCGGTACACCTTGGAACTACTGCAACACTAGTACAAAAAAGGCTTTTTGAATAACCTATAAATGACTTTCCGAGTCACCTGTACGGGTGACTTGGATTTCGGTGACTGTGAAAGTGCTTCACTTTCCAAGACACCCATACAGGGGCGTCTTGGAAAGTCTTTTATTTTTTTATTATTAATTTATTCCCGTGACAGTTGGGTGTCGCAGATACTTCTTTATTTAAAAAAAAAATTATATATATATATATATATATATATATATATATATATATATATATATATATATATATATATATATATATAACTATTGTCATATACTATAGTCATCGAAAGAGTTTTTTGTACTTTTAGTCCCACGACTATAGTGGCACTGGCAGAATTGATCCACGACTTTTGAACCTTGCAATTTTAGTCCACGACTATTGATTTTTTTGCAAAAATGGTCCTTCCGGCCACTTTTCCGTCAAAATTTCACCGGAAAAAAAAAATCTCTAGTTTTAGTCGGGTTAAAATTGACATTCTACTTATCTCAAAAAATTAAAAGAAAAAAATTGATATTTGACTACATACAATATTACTGAGCTACATACTACTGCCCCAGGCATCGGAGTACATTTATCACTCCAATGCTGCTGCCGGATAAACCAACTAGCACGGGGAACGCCACGGTCGCTCCACCGCTTACTGACAGCCCTGCCTGCTCCAGGAACTCCGCCGCCTGGGGCAGTAGTATGTAGCCCAGTAATATTGTATGTAGTCAAATATCAATGTTTTTCTTTTAATTTTTTGAGATAAGTGAAATGTCAATTTTAACCCTGCTAAAAATGGAGAATTTTTTTTTTCCGGTGAAATTTTGACGGAAAAGTGACCGGAAGGACCATTTTTACAAAAAAAAAATTAATAGTCGTGGACTAAAATTGCAAGGTTCAAAAGTCGTGGATCAATTCTGCCAGTGCCACTATAGTCGTGGGACTACAAGTGCAAAAAACTCGTCATCGAAACTATTGTCATATACTATAGTCATTATTTTTTATTTAACTTTCTATTATAATATATATATATATATATATATATATATATATATATATATATATATATATATATATATATATATATATATATATATTTAGTGACCAAAAGCAAATACCTAATCCATGGCTGACCCTAACCCACGGGTCAAGAACGTGGGCGATAACAAAAACTAGGGATGCATTTATTATGTTTTTTTTTTTAAAGAAATAGATTAATATATTTTAATTAAATATTTTATTAAAATTTTTAAAAACGAAAAAAGGTTGTGCATTAATTTTGTTTTTATTATTTTCTATCAAAATGAAAAATCAAGTGAAAATTTCAATGTAAATGCTTATATATATATATATATATATATATATATAGCTTTTCATTAAGATAATTATTTGTTTGAGTATAAGGATATAATAACGTGTTTGTTTGTGTTCCCATTTAACAAACTTGAGAAAGAAAAGCACAAGATTCCAAATAACTTAAAAGAAAGAAAACTATGTTCTATCTTTTGACATATCTAAAAAAATGTTCTATCTTTTGATTATTCTTTGATCTAAAAGTAGCTTGGAATATGCAAATTATTATTATTATTATTATTATTATTATTATTATTATTATTATTATTATTATTATTATTATTATTATTATTATTATTATTTGTTCAACAAAACAATAATATTATGCTAAGTGATTAGGCATCCTAATATACTACATTATTTTATTATTTTTAATTATTTTATAATATATTAGTTATTTTTAATCTTTTAAAGACATATTCATAAAGAAAAGATCAGAGAATAATAATATAATAATTCCAGGTGAAATTTGTAGAGAAAGGAACCGTGTGGCCCATGCTTTGGCCAAAACGGTCGATGCTAGGATAAGGCGCATTGAATGGAGCGATGTACCTCCGATCTTTCTTGATTCTTTACTTACACAATATATATTCCATTTTTGTTTTCAATATATATATATATATATATATATATATATATATATATATATATATATATATATATAGTTAGTTAGTTAGTTAATTTCAATTTTGGTTATTTCGCTGTTGTTATTTTTTACTTTTAGTTATTGAATTTAAAATCTATAGTTGATCCAAAACAAATAAAGATCTTTTCCTAGCTATAATTTAATTTTATCATCTTTTATGTAATTATAAATTATAAATTGTAAATATAAAATAAAGAAAATAAAATATTTATTAAAAGCTTCTATTGAAATAAATAAAAAAAAAATATTCAACAAAATATACAGTCTAAAATTTTGCTTAAAAATAAAATTTAATTCCTCTATATTTATTAGTACAATTCTCCTAGCATATTTATTTCAATAATTAATATTCGCACATATATATACATACAACGCCCTTACCTAACAATTACAAACTTAATTTGATTGCCCATTAAACCAACTATAAAAGTAGATATCATAATCATTGTTCCCAAGATATCATAATCATGGAGATGTGAATGAGATGACATGATCTGTTTCAACTTATATATCCAGATGTCTTAAAAACAAAGTAGATATATATTTTCAAAAGTTGATTTTAATTGACCTTAAATATAATATGATATATAAATAACATAGATAAATATTGGCATATGATTCCAAAATAAATATTTTTATATGGTAAATTGATATTATAATATTTAAATTAGGAATACAATTTAAATAAAAACATATCCTTTTTCTGATATATATACATATAGGAAGAAAAAGCGCTGCTGATTTTGATATGACTAGGCGACTAGCCAAATCATATCCATCTCCAAGTCATAGTCACAATATTATCTTAATAATCGAGTTTATCTAGTGCACACCCTCAAATAGTATTTCGCATTTATATAATCTTAATAGTAACAGCCAACAAGGCAAAGTTGCAGAAACTTCATCGAGTGTCATGCATATATGAGTGGTCAAATTCCCTCTATTTATAGCATCCAACAACCCATACCAAAACCACCATCCACCACCTTCAAATTCGGTGACACAATTCAAGCACAATAACCGCCATTATTATCGATCTACTTTGCAACCTTAGCTTAGCTTGACCCAAAATATAATATAATGGCAGATTATTATTATGAGAGGGAGCTTGACATGTTGCCTGAGGACTGCATTTCCTCTATTTTGTCTCGCACCTCCCCGCTCGACGCTTTCCACCTATCTTTAGTCTCCTCAACTTTCCGGTCAGCCGCCGGAGCCGACTCCGTCTGGGAACGATTCTTGCCGTCCGATTATGCCCAAATCGTCGCCAAGTCCACCGTGCCGTTGAAGTTTTCGTCCAAGAAGGACCTCTTTCTGCAACTTTGCAACTCTATCCTCATTGATCACGGTAACAAGGTAATATAATCTTTTTCGCAAATTAAAGATTCCTTCTTGTAAAGGTAATAAGATGCATGGTGTAATAATTATATGTATTACTAGCTAGATTGGGACATTAATATCTAACTGGTTCCGACCACCTTAACGACCTTAATATGTCATCATTTCTGGTTTTTTTTTTTAATGTATGCATAGAGTTTTGCATTGGAAAAGTCAACTGGCCTAAAGTCATATATGCTGTCTGCAAGGGAGCTCTCAATTCGATACGGTCACGCATCTGACCATTGGGCATGGAAATACATCCCGGAGTCAAGGTAATTCAACTTTATAAAACATATGAAATTATAATTTAGAAAACTGTAAAAATAATTTAATTTTTAATAGCCAAGAACCTTGTATTCAAATGGTATGTAGTGATCTCTTTTATGTGGGAAGTCATGAGATCGAGTCCAATTCTTAGTAGTGGCGTTGTTGACTCTTTGTGCTTTATTAGGTTAAAAAAGTATGTATAAACAGATACTACAATGTAATAGAATATCATTATCAATTATCAATTCAGTCTTTTAATTGAAATAAATATCACATGTTTGTTTCAAAAGTTATGAGTTTAATTATGTCAAAAGTTATGAGTTTAAATCTATGGATAATTGTTTACAGGTTTGCAGAAGTGGCTGAACTGAAAACGATATGCAGGCTAGAAATCCAGGGGAAAATAAGAACAGAGACGCTATCTCCCAACACAAAATACGGCGCCTATATGGTCATGAAAATGACGGACGGGGCATTTGGGTTGGACGCGATACCATGCGAGATGTCAGTGGCGGTGGGCAACGACGATGACCAGCTAGAAACCACCGCCGGCACGGCGTATTTGCGGAAGCCGGCGGAGGTTGCGGCGAAACAGTGGTTGGAATATGCTCTCTACAGGAACAGAAAGGAGAAGTTGAAATCGCGTGTTAACGGCGGCGGGGAGGAGAGACAGTTGCGGGAGAGGGGCGATGGGTGGATGGAGATTGAGGTGGGAGAGTTTTTTGCCGGAGAGGAGAATGAAGGAGAAGTGACGATGAGATTCACGGAGGTCAATGGTTGTCACGTTAAAGGAGGGCTTGTTATAGAAGGTATTGAAATCAGGCCTAAGCATTAGGAATTCTTTTATTTTTATTTTTCAAACTTTACTTCTTTGGAAAAGTAATGGTAGATTGTAGACATTTGGTAGTGCAATATATTTTGGCAAAACATGGAAATTTGAAAAAAAATAAATAAAACAAATTAATTTCTTTACTTAAAGCAAGGTTGAAAAAATTACTAGGCACCCTCTAAGCGCTTGGAAGCGGCTAGGCGGTCAATTTTTTTTTTAAATTTAAAAAAAAAATTATTAAAAATTCTGCCTAGTCCACGGCGGCCGACCGCTTAGAACGATGATCCGCCGAATTTCTAGGCGGTCGGCCGCCGCCTAGCGCCTAGACGCAATTTTTGCAATCCTAATTTAAAGTGGAATTAGTATTCTTGAAGAAATCTAGAAGGTAAATCAATGAATAATTACTTAAGAACTTGTTTTTGTCGCCTTTTAAATGTAGGAAATGTTTGTCTTGTCTGGAATGTAACAGAAGTCCCCGGTTCAAGAATGATTAAAGATCTTAAGCTTCCTTTATCAAGAAGGATTCAATAGCTCAATTTAACAAAAATTGTAAATAAGGAAGTCTTACGATGCCCGCATGGGTAGCTCAACTGGTCATAGAGGTGAAACTTTGAAATAATGACTAGGGATCGAGTCTCACCAGCGGCAGTGTGGAAGTAACCTCTCAAAATGAGGGGGGCTCCTTGTGCGCAGTGAGCACCGGTCTACCCTGGACCGGGGTGTGGGTTCCCTTAGGGTTGGGGTTCAGCCTTGGGATAATAAACTAGAAATATTAAATAGCAAGATGAATGTGATAGGCAATCCCAAGAAATACTCACTTAGAAAAGTTGATTGGGGCAAAATTTCATTAACAATTAACTCTTTAGATAGAGTAACGGCATCTCAACGGATATTTTCATAGTTTAAGCTTAGAAGTAGGTTAAAGGTTTTGAAACTGTAAAGATTGATGCTTTTGTTGAGGTTTCACCCGTGGATGTTCATTACACCATTACTTGACTTTGGTTAGAATTTTAGGTAAAGTTTCATATAATGCTTGGTAGACCACTAGATGACTAGATGTTCATTGGTTAAAAAAATTATAGGGTCGCTCACTTCACTTCTATATTTTTCCATTTCCAATTTTTCATTTTTTTCATTTTTGCAATTTCTTAATTTTCATTCTCTATTCCTCCAACTTTTCATTTCTCTAATTTTTTTAAATTTCATTAAATACAATCATTCCATATATTATTTATACATTTCTACAACAACAAATTTGTGTGCATGAGGAGGTAAAATGAAAAAGGGAAATAATAATAATAATAATAATAATAATAATAATAATTATTATTATTATTATTATTATTATTATTATTATTATTATTATTATTATTATTATAAGAATGAAAGAAAAGGAGAAGAACAAAGAATCATTTGTACATTTCTACAACAAAATAATAATAATAATAATAATAATAATAATAATAATAATAATAATAATAATAATAATAAAAGAGAAGAACAAAGAAAGAAAAAGATAATAAAGAAATATTATTATAAGAAGAACGAAAGAAAATGAGGAAGAACAAGCAAGGAAAAGGAAAACAAAGCATTCCTCCATTTGGAGAAGTCCAAACCTTCTTTCTCCAAAAGTATACATAAGGTTGGAGAATGGAGATGAGTCAATCAATTGGAAAGCGAGTTTTAATAAACTTCATTTATCTATTTTTCTACGTTGGTAAACGACCCTATATATTTGCAGTTAACATACTATGTGTCTTCAATTAGCATATTATGTGTCTATAAATCTATAATTATAATTTGTTAATTACAAAAACATAATATGTTAACTTAGATTAAGGTCCACAATGCAAGGTCTACCCCTAATCCATAGTATAATTGCCCTCTTTCCTCAACACTAGGTGATAAACAATGCTAGGGAAACATTTTCTTATAGTCAACTTTTGTAAGGCTATCCCCATTAGAGCATCTATAATAGTGGAGATATTTTGTGATTTTTGAGGAGTTTTTGTAAATGTGATTAGGAAAGGGAATATGGGAAGAGAAGGGGGAAAAAGATGAAAAATAAATAAATAAATAAAAATAAAAGAAGATGATTACCGTGTCGTGCAAGCCTGGCTTTTCTGTGCACGAAACGTGCACTTGCACACCAACTCAGCAGTCACGGTTCCAAAAACCATCTAATATGATGTGGATGAGAGAGTGTGAAGAGAAAAAAAGGGAGAGGTTCTCCGGTAAAAATGAGGTTTTTGGCAGTGAGTGGGCTCTACCATGTGAAGAGTGTGAAGAGAGTTTTGGCACCATGTGAAGAGTGTGAAGAGAGAGATGCGCCTCACGCCTCACAATGCGTGAGGCACAACTCTCGGGCACGTAAATCTGTATATTTTTTTTATTTTTCAGCTTTTGATTTTGTTTGTTTTTTTTCCTCTCATTTTCTCTTTCCTAGTCACATCTGCAAAAACTCCTCAAAAACCTCACAGTATTGAGAATGCTCTAAAGGATTCAAGTGGTTGGCTTTTCTTGTAATGTTTACAGAAGTGGGTAAGATTTAAGGAATTAGCTTGGAGGTTAAATGTTTGAATTGCAATATTAAAATGGATGATTGATGAAGGGATGTTGCTAAAGCAATTTGAAAGGCAACTGATAATCTGTATTCATACTTGGATGAACATTCATTACAGTTGCAATCCACACTCATCATAGTTGCAATGAGCATGTCTTTTTATGGTAAAACTAACCCTTCTTGGGTATCTATCATAATATATATATCCCCTAAACCAAGTGCCCTGGTTGAAATGGATATAACATGTACAAAGAATGCACAGTTTCACCACAAAGATTGAAGACAGACACCCCCCCTGACTCCCTAAAATATCTAGCCACCGCAACCAAAGGCGTCGTTTTGAATCATTTCTTCCCGAATGATTCCAAGAGCCCTATATCAGCAGCAGCGTCGCAAACAGAACAAGTATGAAAACCAACCAACCCCAACAGCGGACTCTTCTTCTTTTGAGCTTGAATCCTCCTCCGGATGTGGCTTCTGTTCGGATTCTGGTTTCTCGGGCACTGATTTCAACGATGAACCATTCCGACTATCATTTACCAGCCTGCAATTCAAAAGATTCAGCAGATATTAATTGACCATAAATAACCAAGGATGAAATCTTCATGTCCAAACTGTTGACACCCAGAAATAAATAAAACTCGGGTGATGACAATTGAGCTTACACTGGGAAAGCGAAGGAACTGCTGCTGCTGGTACCACTATCATCGGATAGATGATGAGGATCTGAAGCAGGAGAAGTTCCTCTACCATCTGATGAGTTAGATTTCATAGCAAAAGAGTGGACTTCATTGGACGCAGCAATTTTACTAATCCCTTCTGAGCTTCCATCATTGGATTTTTGCACTTGCAATGCCTCGGACGCAAGCTCGCTCTTCTCTTCACTATCCGGTGCCCCTTCGATCACGGGAGCAAGGGTGGAGGAGAAGCTCTTGCGAACGTTATTGCAACGTTTGTCCTCACAACTCCCATCCTCAGACCTGTTCATTGACATTGCGCGGTCTCTAGAAAAGCTATTATTGTTACCCATGTGAATGCTGAATAACGACTCAGTCGATGTAACGCTCCATTCCATGGGTGCACTAGACCTGCTGCCGAATACAGAGAATGGAATTCGATTGGGATCGTAGCCCGAAGGCTGGCCTATGGGTATCATGGCCCATTTATGTGGACTAGTTGAAATATCTGGATAGGATACAGGGATAGGTGACTGTGGTTCCGGGCTGTCAGGTTCATCATCATAGCAACAAGGGGGGGAAGAAGAAGAAGAAGAAGAGGAAGAGGAGGGGGATTCTACAGGTGAGGATAAAGAAGAGGAGGAACCAGAAGTTGTGCATTCAAGAAGCTGATCATGAACATTATTGTGCTTACTCCTATAGGGCTTTCCTAAAGGTTCATCTTCACTCCTATACCGATTCTCCATTCCCATTTTCACCTTGGATTGGCACAAACCTTTTCAGGGTTGTTACAGATCCAAGGATACTTCTCCTCTGCACAACAAGAATCAAAATATCAAAATAATTGAATCAAAATGTGCTCCATCTCAACTAATAGTTGGATCGTAGTCGCCTAGGTAACGTAGAGATTTGAACCCATGACCTTTGGTCTGGCAGCCTAAGCTAATAGTTGGATTGCACATTAATGGCTATATGCTCAACAAAAATATAAATAAATAAATAAAACCCTAGAATGGAGAATCAAATCAAATACTATGTGAATGAACAAACCACACAGATTTCTAACCTTTAATTGTATGTTGCCTACATCAAATCCCTTCCCTTCCCTTCATCTTCTACTTCATCCTGAGACAATTAGGAACATATGAGGATCCAAAACATTATCAAAATTGCAGATACACCTTAAAAACATCAAATTAATTAGATATGCAAGCTAAACAATTCAGATGGCGATTAAAATGGTGTTCAATCATACACACCCTGAATTAATCACGAAAAGTGACAAGGGAAATTGAGCATACCTAAGATAGGATAGAAATCCACCCATGAATATATCTTCATGGGAATTGGATTGGATAGATTGATAGACGTTTAAAAGATGGCGATTGGAAGAAAGGGATTTTAGAGCATGGGGGTTTTGTTTTTATCATGGTTTTTCCCTATTAAGGGAAGGCTGAGCGACCATTACGGTGATGCTCATCGACTTGCCTTCCATCCCACTTTGCCACCAAAATTTTTGCAACGCCAACAACATTTCTTAATCTCACCAATTCAATCTTTGCTCCCTTCCTTATAATTATAAGGAGAAGGGTCCAATAAAACATTATCAAACAACAATTTAGAATGTTGGATCCATTTATCAAATGAGTTAATTTCCAAAATATTTCCGACTTGTGACATTTTCTCAAATTAATCTTTTGATTTTTAATTTCTTCAAAGTGATCTTCAGACTTTTGATTTTTAAGTTAAAATTGATCATCCGTTAACTTTGGCGTTAAATTGGTTAAAATGAAGGATAAAACTGAAAATTTAAGTTTTGCATTCCAATTTAAAACAATCTGTAATTCCTTTCAGCAGTCTGAAATAATCAGGCTAAAAAAGTTTATCTTCAACTTCCATCCACAAACTTCCCAAGGTTAAAAAGCAGTTTTCTTTTATTTATTTTTAGGAAAAAGTCAAATAGGCCCTCGAACTTTAACTTAAAAGTCAATTAGGCCCTAAACTTTTTAAAGGTGCAATTACACCCATTAACAATTCATTTAGGTGCAATGAAGTCCAAAAACAAGTTAATGACCTGCTATCACAAGTCATTAGGGTTCATGCCACTCCCGACGCCGGATTTTCCGGCAAAAAAAAAAAAAAAAAAAAAAAAAAAAAAAAAAAAAAAAGTGATCGGCAAAATTTTCTACAAATCTTGGTCGGTTGTTGTCACTTTTTTTTGCCGAAAAATTCCCCGGAAGGTGGCCTGAACCCTAATGACCTATGATAGTAGGTCATTAACTTATTTTTGGGCTTCATTACACCTAAATGAATGGTTAATGGGTGTAATTGCACCTTTAAAAAGTTTAAGGACCTAATTGACTTTTAAGTTAAAGTTCAAGGGCCTATTTGACCATTTTCTCTTTATTTTTTCCTCTTCCCTCCTATATTCTCTTCCCTAATCTCATTTACAAAAACCATAAAATATCTCTACTATTCACATATTCTCTTCCCCAATCACATTTACAAAAACCATAAAATATCTTTACTATTATGGATACTCTAAACATAACTTATTTACTTACGCTTAAAATTAGACATTATTCACGTTATCACAATTAAAACATGGGCACTACACCCAAGTTTTGATTTTGATTGAGAAGTTCAGATATTAGTTGTGTATATCGTAATACAAATGTTCAATAATGCATTTTTCTTCTAACAGCTGACAATTACAAGTTTTAAATACTACTGCAAATTTTCTTCATTGATCAATATTACAAGAAGTCGGTGACACAAGGAAGAATTTAAATTTAAAAAAATCACAAGGCTGAAGCAGTAAATATATTCAGACCATGTAGTATTTATTGTTAAAAGAATAATACATCTTCAAATATCTAGGTCAAGGAATCCTCAGATATTCAAAGTATGCTATTCATAAAGTTGACATTTTCCTGTACCAGCACAAACTGAACACTCATCTGCATTCCCATCAATGTGACTTAAGCAATGGTCAAGTCTGTCATTTATAACGTCCTGTGTACCACCCAAAAGGAATTATTAAAAAATTTAAAATAAAAATAAAACAAAGGAGAAGAAATGTCTTGCAGACCTAATTAACAAGATTGTGTGATACTAGGTTCCAATTGCATTTGATGCTTTGAGGAGATGGAAGAATAAAAGCATAGAAGGATGCTAACTCATACCACAAGCAATTCATGGACACCAAGAGGTGCAGTAATAATGAATGGTATCCCAGGATGCAGCTTGGCAGCTTCGGCGGTTAGTGAAGGAATATCCTGACAATAGAAGTATTATAACTATCTTAGCGCATGTTAATTGATGCTATAAGTTTACTTCGCTAAATGGTACTAACGGGATTAATCTACCTGTTGCCAGTGTCGTCCAGGAAAAAGGAAGAATGGGGAAACTATAATTCGACGTGCTCCCTGTTGAACACAGGAATTAAATGCATCTTTGATAGAAGGCTCTGCCAGCTCCTATTTATGTTGGAAGAGAAGTTTCTCAATAAGAATTCAGTTCTATGGAGATAAAACATAGAGGTAAGACCATAAACAAGAGGAAAAGGGCATTAAAAATAACATATGGCTTACTAGGAAGCACACATACTACACTTTAAAGCAACAAAATCAAAGAACAAACTTCACCATATGAGCAGGTTCCACAATGGGGTACTTGGTTTTCTCTTGAAACATTGCCACAAACTCATCTAACATAGGTAATGAACTCAGTTTACATTTCCTTAGAAAATAACAATAATAGTAACAATAACAATAAACTCAGTTCACATTTAGCTACCAAGAGTTCACCAAATCATTAACACTAGCCTTTCAATCACCAATTGCATATTAGAGAAGACAAATTTATTAGAAAAGTGAAGCTTACTTAGCATAAGATTGGACTCTTTTCGACGCGATCCATGGTCAACAATTATCACACCATCACCAACTTTAATACAATTCCTTTCCCCTTTAAAGCCACCATTTGCGACGGTCAAGCACAACCTTGGTGCTAAATAGCCGGTTTTAGCAGGAAACTTGCGTACTTTAACAAAATCAAGAATTGCCCCTCCATGGGCTCTTCCTATTTGAGAAATCGTCAAGCTTCAATTGTTTATAATAAAAGAAACAGCAATTAATGACACATTCATAAAGACAAATGATTAATATGTATGCCCAACAAGAGAATATACATGAGAACCCAACTAGTGCTATGAAAACACAATAAAACATACCTTCTTATACTAAACTGAGATGATAAAGACAATGACTCCATCAGTTCTATGCAACTTTTGGTCGAGAAGCTTACAAAATGGAGTATTGATCAGTACTGTCTACTCTGTGTAATGTTTACAAGGCATTCATAAGGTCATAGTTAATACTAAGCATAATCAGCCCACACTCAAAGACAAGATCAGGATCCAAATGCCCAATACACCCCATCCTCAATACAATAAAGCGCAATAAATTTAAACATCTTTTTACATAAGACACCAGAATCCCCTTTGCCTATGAGGAAAGCTATGCAAGATACAGCCAAAAAAAAAAAAAAGGGGGGGGGGGGGGGGGGGGGGGGGGGGGGTGGTTTGAATTGTAATTTAAGGGATTGGTCCCTTCCACAACCTGTTTGTGGTGACCTATGGGTGACTGACAATCAGTTTCAGTTGGTGACCGCAATAACTTGTTTTTCCCCACCCAAAACCATCATATGAACTTGGAATAACTGAGCATTACAAACCAATCAATTTCAGTAGGTTAATTCAACTCTAACCCTAATTCAACAATTTTTTAACGTGATGATTTTACATTTTTACTATACAAACTGAGAACTTAATGACACTATGAGACAAATGCTAATCCCAATCTATCATTGTTGAATAGTTTCATCGAATTCATTAGTTCACAGCCTCACACACAAGGAAGCAGAAGAGCAGAGGTGATTATGTATAGGATGACTTCGACTCTTCAAGTCATCAACTGACCAGTGGACACGCACAATTGCGCAACCACACAAGCCGCAAACCAACCCTAGTTTCTAGAGAAGAGGCAAGGAAGTTGAGGATTCCTGAGGTTTAATAGAGAGCCTTGAATATGTTTTCATGATCATTAGAAAACGGAAAATTAGCAATTTCGATTAACCAGTGGTATAGACTCAATCAACAGCCGCCGCCGGGTAGCGACCTCCCGAGTGCCGACCTGCTAGTCTCCTACAGTGCCTAGTGCGGTAGTACCTACCTACCCTGTCTGGATGCCTATCGAACTACCATGGGAACTGGGAAGACATACCTCGACTCACAGCCTGTCGCCGCCTGCCGCCTGCCGCCCGTCGCCCGTCGCCACTCGCCAGTCGAAGGAGTCTCGGTCCTCTCGGACAAAGTCGCAGCCGCAGGATTAATTTTTTACAACGAAAAGAATCTGGGGATTTTGGGGTTGGGTTTGGTAATATATATATGGGACATTTCCCCCGTGTTATATACTTATATACTCACATTTTTCCCATAAATAATTTAGGAAAAATGGCACTTTTTCTCCCTAAATTATATACTTATAGCACTTTTTCCCCCTCAATTATTTATGTAAGCACATTAGCCCCCTCAATTATTTTAAAAGTGGTGGTTTTTCCCCCAAATATATTAAATTGACACTTCTACCCTTAAAGCAAACATTTTATTTATTTTACTTCAACAAATTATTGCGTATATATAGCGATTCCACGGTTCGGTTCGAACTGAACCAGACACTATAACAATCGAATTAAAAGTTTTCAGTTATGATTCAGATCTAGAACCCAATATTTGGATTTCAATTTATTAAATTTAAGAATAAAAAAAAACTGGATATGAACCGTGAACCGGCAATTTCGGATCCAGTTCGCGATTTTGAACCGTCTTTATTTTAAAATAGTCTAAATTCAACAATAAATATATTTTATTTTTTCAGTTCGGAACATGAACCGGCCATTCCGGTTCGCGATTTTAATAAACTCTAAATATCGCGTTTTGATTATAAATTGTAATTGGAATATTTTGGTTTGGTTGCTATAGTATCTGTTTGGTTTGAACCAAATTATAGTAATAATTTGTTGGAGAATAAAAATAAATGAAATATTAATTTTAAATATTTATTTTAAGGGTAAATATGTCCATTTAACATTTCAGGGGGGAAAAATAGCCACTTAAATAATTGAGGGGGAAAAAGTGCTATAAGTATATAACTTAGGGGGAAAAAGTGCTATTTCCCCAATAATTTAAGTGGTTCCTTGATATGTTAAATAGATGTATTTAGGCTTAATTAAAATAAATATTTTATTTATTTTTCTTTCCCAACAAATTATAAACACGATTTGAAAAAATAAAATACATTAATTGTTAAATTTAGAATATTTAAAAATAAAAAACAATTAAAAGAATGTTTGAACCAACATTTCAAATTGAATCTGAAACCGTGAATCGATAGTTCAAAATGTGAAAAAAAAAAAAAAACATACACTATTTGTAAATATTATAATTCTAATTTTAAGCTAATGCTAGTAGTTGTTCTGATTTGAACATCCAGTTCACGGTTCAGGATTCATTTTGTTCCAGTTCACATTTTAATAAACGAAAACCCAAATATTGAGTTATGTTCTAAATCATAACCAAAAATTTTTTATTTGATTGCTATAGTGTTCGGTTCAGCTCGAACCGAATTGTGACCCTCCTTACGTATAAGCCATATTTTGTTAAAGAAGAAAAATAAATAAAATATTTATTTTAAGGGTCCGTTTGGAAAGCAGGAAAATGACTTCTGGAAAATGAGTCATTTTCCAAAAGTCATTTTCCTTTCCTGTGTTTGGCTGCAAAACGGAAAACTGTCTTTTCGTGTTTGGTTCATTTTCTAGAAAATGAATAGAAAAATGATCAAAATTGTATACTTCAATTAATTTTATTTCTTCAATTACTTTTTACTTTTTATATCATTTGATAAATTTATTTTTTAAATTTTATACCCAGATATGTTCTTCTACTACTTCTTCTTCTTCCTTGACTTAGCTTGCAATTCATAAAAATAGAGTAATTCAATCAAAACAAATAAGCACATAAACCCAAAACAATCACTTCCATTTCTACACAAATTAGAGGAATTGAATTCAAAAAAAACAAAAAAAAAAAAAACAAACAAACAAAAAAAAAAAAAAAAACTGAGAAAGCAAAAAAAAAAATAAAAAAAATACCAGATATCACTGGTTTCCGGCTGCGAGCCGGAAACCAGTTCTCACAGGTTTCCGATGCGGAAACCAGTTAACTGGTTTCCGCATCGGAAACCAGAGAGAGGTTTCCGTAGTTCGGAAACCAGTGGGACTGGTTTCCGATGCGGAAACCAGAAAGAGGTTTCCGCAGTTCGGAAACCAGTGGGTTTCCGATGCGAAAACTTCTCTGGTTTCCGATGAGACTTCCCATTTCCCTTCGCGATCTCTGTCACGATTCCAGGTTTTGATGACTCAGCGGCTATTTTTCTGGTGATGGATTTGTTGGTTTGGAGCTTGTTCTTGCGTTGATGGAGACGTGGAGATGACAAATGTTGCGTTGAATGAAGATGGAAAATGACTTCCCCAAAAAAAAAAGGGGAAGTCATTTTCCGAAAAAGTGAGGTGATTTTCCATTGACTTTGGGTTATTTTCCTTTGACTCCTATTTTCCTTGCCTAGCCAAACACCAAAAACTCGGAAAATGATTTCCAGAAATCATTTTTTGGGTTTCCAAACACACCCTAAGAGTAGAAATATAGGGAGGGGGGGGGGGGGGGTGACTGCCACTTTTATAACAATTGAGGGGGCAAATGTGAATGCATGAATAACTCAAGAAAAAAAAATAATATAAGCATATAACTCAGGAAAAAAAGTGTCATTTTCACTTTCACTATATATATATATATATATATATATATATATATATATATATATATATATATATATATATATATATATATACATTCAGGTAAAAACGCATTTTAAAATACAAACATATGGATTAAATGAGGTCGTTAGATCTTAAGTTGGATGGCTTGGATATGCGCGTGATATATGTGGGTTTATAGTGTTATTTTATTAAGTTTTTATGTTTAGGAGGGTAAATATGGTACTCCGTATTTGTCTATTGTAGGAACCTAGTCAGATGAGCCTTACAATTCCACACGTGTGTGCACGATAAACTCTAACTGTGTGCACGGGTTCAAAATCGCATGCTTCGTTGTCCATTCACTGCCCTAAGAATGTATTACTGTGTATGTTTATTTTTTTTAGCCGTATGGGGGTTTCTAATGTGTGCACGCTCGTCTCTAACTGTGTGCACGGGTTCAAAATCGAATTCTTCGTCGTTCATTCACTGTCCTAAGAATGTATTACTATGTATGTTTGTTTTTTTAGCCGTATGGGGGTTTCTATTGTGTGCACGCTAGTCTCTAACTGTGTGCATGTGTTCGAACTTGCATTTTTCGTCGTTTATTCAATGCCCTATGAATGTATTACTGTGTATGTTTGGTTTGTTCATGCATATGGGGTTTTTGTAATGCGTGCATGCTAGACTCTAACTGTGTGCAAGGGTTCGAAATCGCATTCTTTGGACTGTGTGCACGCGTTGCTTTGCCGGAAAATCGCGTCTGTATTTTCTTTGCGGGCAAATCGTTGTCGTATGGGGGGTGGATTCCAGCTGGTGGTTGCGTTTCTATTTGTTAGTTTTAATCCTACTATAATTACTCTTCATTAATTTAGGATATATATCATATTCATATTTTTACTCTAATTAGGATACAATGTAATTGTCATAACTGCCCTTTTAATCATTAATTAGTGTGATGGAGTAATTTATTTACCTTCAATCTAAGCCATTAACCTACTCTAATCTTGCGGCCCATATTTTTTCACAGGTTTGTATTTTAAAATTGGGAGACGGAGTTTTGCTAGTCAAACACGAAACTCCCTTGTCTCCATCCATTGGTGATGGAGCTTAGTCTCTTATCTCCCTCTCGCTGCACGGAGTTGAAGACGAAGCTCCGATTCGTCTTTCATGGGAGCTCTATATTCTTTTTCCGGACCAGAAGAATATATATATTTTTAAAATGGTAGCTCCACCATTTTCTTCCAGTCCACTTGAATTTAAAAAGTTGCAGGAGGCTGCATCCTCCTCCGTCGATTTGGACAGAGGATGCAACCTCAATCTCAAGCTTCTCAGCCTCAGCTCTTCTTCCATCAACGTTGACGTGGGAAGCAGTCTCATCCTCCGTCAACATTATATTGACACAAGAGGAGGACTCTTCCACTCTCAAACGTTTTGAAATTCAAATAAAAAAGGCACAAGTGTCAAATAGACCTATTTACTATTGCGAAGTGCTCAATTTCCGCTATGAACTAAATTAAGTGTCAAATATGCCCATCTACCAGCTAAATTTGTTCAATTGGCATTTTTTACAAATTGCTAGCAGGTTGCCTATTTAATTATATTAAAAATAAATAAATAAATAGAATAAAAAATTAAAAAAAAAAATCGCTGGACAGCCGGTGGTTGATATTTTTTTTTTTTTTAATTTTTTAATTTTTTAATTTTTTAATTTTTTATTCTATTTATTTATTTATTTTTAATAATTAGATATGCAACCTGCTAACAACCTGTAAAAAAGGTCAATCGAACAAATTTAGCTGGTAAATGAGTCTATTTGACACTTAATTTAGTTCGTAATGGAAATTGAGCACTTCGCAGTAGTAGATGGGTCTATTTGACACTTGTGCCAATAAAAAATAAACAAAAAAATTGGGACTTAGAACTTTGAAATTTATTTATTTTTAAATAGTAGTCTAAATTTGTTTTAAAAGTTTTATTTTAATAATTAAAAATATTTTTAACAAAATGACACCCTTTCTCTTTATTAATTATTTAATTTATTTTTACTAATGTTAAGGTCGCACTATCCGTTCAATTAACTAGAGTTTCAGAATAGCTTTTCATCCCGCATAGAAGGTAAGATGTTCCCATTTTATGTTTTGTATATCATATTCTATATACTTTGTAAAACTTTTCGTGAATTTGTGTGTTTTTTAATTGAACATTTAACTAATAATTTGTGTGTTTTAGGTGAGTTTGTTTGGTATTCAAATAAGTTAATTTTTTAAATAAAATTTTAGCTATGTTGGCATTATGTAATGCTCTCATATATTCTTTCTTTCCTATACTGAAATACTGAATACTTTGAGTATTTCAGTAAATATTTTTCTCTAATATTATAATCAGTTCTTCATTCTTCACTAAATTTGTATAATATATTGTGACTTTTTATTGACGTGAGTTGGTATGCTTATTGATAACTATGCTAGAGTTTTGCTTTTTGATTAATTATTTATTAATATGAACTCATTGATGTCTTTAGGACCATTAGTGCTATAACTTGTCTCGCCCGAACTTTAAAATATTGTATGCAATATGCGTGCATAGTGCGTGCATTTTTCGTGTATTGTATAGTATCAGAGCAACAATTAATGGTATCATAGATTCCAAACTATATATATGGGTAAGCTCGATCTGACACCTATATCAGTGATTTGTGTTTGTTTTCATTATCCATTTCTTTTATTTAAACAATTTATTTGCTAATACTCATTTTTCAAATATTTATATTTGAATATATAAATAACAATATTTCAATCAATAATATATTAAGTTCCCTTCAAATTTAATTTAGATAATATAATTTTTGTATATAATATTCAAAATATTTTTGAATATATTTTAATTAAGATTCTTTTTGGATAACTTTATAGAATATTAATTTGTTAAAGATGATAGGTGTGGGCATGGATGTCCTTCTCTTTGGCAAATTATGTTGTGCATCCGTATGCACCATGCATGGTGCATACGGATGCCAAAACGACGTCGTTTTAATAAAACGCGCGTCTCCCCTTAAAAAAAAAAAAAATCAGGTTCGATTCCCAGCAACAACATATGAACTATAATTCCATAATCGATAAATTATAATTCCATAATCGATGAACTATAATTCCATAATCTAATCTATGAACTAAAAATTCTAGAATGAATGAACTAAAATTCCATAATCTATAAACTAAAATTTCAGAATCGATGAACTACAATTCCATAATCGATGAACTATAACTCCATAATCAATGAACTAAAATTCCAGAATGAATGAACAATATAATGTTGTTGCTGGGAATCGAACCTGAATTTTTTTAAAAGGGGAGACGCGCGTTTTTTAATAAAACGACATCGTTTTGGCATCCGTATGCACTATGCATGGTGCATACGGATGCACAGCATAACGATTGCTTCTCTTTAGCTGAGTGGTTTTCCTTCTTAAGGTACATTGTTTTCTTTCTTAAAGTTCTTTGTTTTCATTCTTAAGGTGCTTTATTTTCATTCTTAAGGTGCGTTGTTTTCATTTTTAAAGTGCGTCATTTTTTACAGTTTGCTTCTTTAATTGAGGACGCACCTTTATTTATTTATTTATTTTTTTTTTTTTTGTTTACAATCCTAAAACACAAACGGTATTCTTTATAAGATTTTCTCTACAAAAGTCATATTTATGTTAATCTAGCTTAAGGTGCGTAAATTCAAAGCTTAAGATTCATCAACTTAAATCACCGCACTTTCGCACCTGAACCCTTCCCTAGGAATTTTGTGATTTCATTGTTTTCTTGTGAATGTACGGTATGACTTTTAGGAATTAAAGTGAGAGTAGTCTGTGCAGTAGTACTAAAATATCATTTGGCTGTCACTACACGTATTTTGATAATAATGTGTTTCCTTTTTTTTTTTTTTTTTCTTTCTTTTTCAAAAGGAAAATTTCATTAATAAACTTTAAAATGCAGAGGATTTAAGATAAAAGAAGGGGGGAATGAGTCCACACCTTATGATCAGACATGGAAAGGGATTTCCGAGCTAACAGATGAGCAATTCAGTTCGCATATCGTTTAACAAAAGAGATAACAACATTATTTAGGGATGGCAACAAATCTTTGATATCAAGGAGGATGAAGTCAAACTGAGAGTCGAGATTGGGAGATTTGAGAGCATGGACGATCTGAAAAGCATCAGTTTCAACCTGACAATGTGAAAAATCTTGGTCTTTTATCCAGCTGAGAGCTTCTCTAACAGCTATGCATGGCCTCAGCTTCTTTGACAGAAAAAATCCCCTCAACATAATATTATAATACTATGTGGACTCTGATCTATAATATAAATTGCCGCCCTATATCCCAATTAATCTCATTTCTTGATTAGTCATTTAGTCATACCCTCAGCTTCTCCAAGCCCATCAATTAGTCTCAAATAAGCAAACGATACTTGAAGCAAGCCACAACAAAATTGTGCAAGTCCTGCAAGGAAATTCACTCCGACTGAGGGACTCAGTCGGAACACAAAATCTACTTGATCCAAAAGAGGTTTGGGCTCAATCAAATCGTCATAAGTTCTTTTTATGAAGTATTGTCCAATATCGAGGAACTCTGACCTTATGCTACACTTAGCATTTTTGTGAAAGGAACTTCCTAAGTATCTCACTCTGGGCGAGAGGACTCGGGCAGGAAGTCGGTCGAGTACATTATACTCGGTTGAATCATACACTGGCGTCGGGCGACCTCATTTTCCACCGGGACAGCCTCATTTTCCTCTGGGGAAAGCGTCAGTGGATATGCCGAAGTGCCTTCGGTCCCATGATTAGCCTGAGCCGCCTTGCGTGCTCTAGGTGAATTTTTTTTAAAGATGAGTTGATGAATGACTGAGATTCTATACATATATATATATATATATATATATATATATATATATATATATATATATATATATATATATATATATATATATATATATATATTGGGGCTATATACGGAGTAATAATTTAATATTAAATATAAATGTTATTTTTAGCGTACAAACTATTACATGAATGCGCACAATCTAATATTTCAGTAATTTAATATTTCAGTATACATTGCGCGCTTGAAATATTGTGTTAACAACATATTATATGTCTGCAGTTAACCTATTTTATATATGTAATTAATAATTTGTGTCTGTAATTACCATTTTATGTGTTTGTAGTTAATATATTATGTACCTTTAATTTATTTATTTACAGGCATATAAACAATTTTTTATAAATACATAATATATTAATTGCATACGCATAATTTTTGAATAATATATTAATTGCATACGCATAATTTTTGAATCAAAGTTTACAATATACAATAGAGCCCTCAATCATTATTACATGGACCGTGGTCCACACAATTGTGTGGACCATAAATAAAAAGTACATTTTTAATAAATAATAAGGGTACATTATTTATGTACGTAAGGTACAATTTTTGAAAGTACATTTTTAATATATTAAGGGTACATTATTTTATATAATGTACCTTTAGCACAAAAATAATATACCTTCAGTACAAAAATAATGTATTTTTAATATCTACATCTACATACAAATACAAATCTAATAAGAGTCAATAATGTTAGGCCCTTAACTGGAACAAAAAATGTTAGTATAATTGTTTATTGAAATGAATGGTTCATATTATTTTAATTTTAGCATTTTTTAAAAATGATTTTCCTTATTTACCCTCTATTATATTATTTTCTTCCCTTAAATAACGCTGGATTTCGTTAGTATAAACTTTAGTAACGGAATATTCCGTTAACTATTTATTATACTTTAACTTACTCATTAGTTTCTATAAGAAATGTCTTAGGTTCGATCCTCATCTCAAACAAGGATGTCATAATTGTTAAATATATACTACGAATATGTTAAAATATATGGAGTATTGAAAAAATAAATACAATATAAAATTTAACATAAACTTTGGTCAAATAATTAGCCCGACTAAATACAAAACATTCAAAGTTGAGCATCAAAGATTATAAATCATGAGCTTTGAAAATCATTTTCTTGCATTTAAAAAAAAAAAAAACAAAATTTAGACCAGTAATCCAATTACACATGACATACTACCAATAAAAAAAGAGAATACATGACATGTACGGAAGATGAAGACAATAATAATGATACCCAAAAGAGAATTAAGAAGACTTAGAGAAATTTAAACAAAAGTAGTATTTATTTAGACTATTGCTTTTAAACTATGAATTTAGACTAGCGTTATTACAAAGTTGCAAACATTTATTTTAGTGACAATTATAATCATTCTCTCATATATTATCTTGCATTTATATACTTTAAACAAATTCAACATTCAATTACATATGCAAGAATATCTCCTATATAATATTGCATTGATATACTTTGAAGTACTTATTTAAAAAAATTATTGGGCATTATCTCATTTGCTCAATGCGCGTAAAAAAGAACTAGTATTAAAAATATACCTAATAGGTTGCAGGGAGTGGTTGTATAGCCCTCCTCAATATCTTGTTAATATTCTCGTTTCTGATTCAATAAATTAAATTTTTCCTTTAAAAAAAAAACCTGATATTCATGGTCCACACAACGACGCGGACCATGGTCCACACAATAATTTGCCCAATTGAGCAGTTTGGATTAGCTTTACAATAGTTATGTTGTGCAACCGAATGCACCATGCGCATGGTGCATACGATGCAAAACGACGTCGTTTTGTTTTGACTAAAAATGCGCGTCCCACTTTTAAAAAAAAATCAGGTTCGATTCTCGGCAATAGCATTATTGTGGATATATAATTATGAATTTCTGGATATATAGTTATGAATTTGTAGATATATAGTTATAAATTTATGGATATTTAGTTCATTCATTGTGGATATTTAGTTCAAATTCATTGTATATATTTACTTCATTCATTCACTGTGGATATATAGTTATGAATTTATGGATATACTGTGAACTTTTACTTCATTCATTCACTGTGGATATATAGTTATGAATTTATGAATATATAAAAATGCTATTGTCGGGAATCAAATCCAATTTCTTTTTTAAGTGGGACGCACATTTTTTTTAACCAAAACGACGTCTTTTTACATAGTATGTACCATGCACATGGTGCATTCGGTTGCACAGCATAATTTGCGTTAGCCTTATCAGTCAGCCGAAAAGTGGCTTTAAAGCCTAATTTAATTTATTGGGTCCGATCTAAATGCCCAAATCCCTAAACCTAAAAATCGTCCCAAAATCCGTTTGCAAAATTTCAAATGGAAATCATGAAGTACTATGGATTGTAGTGCCATCGCCCATCGTAGATTCGTAGCACAGCGTTCCCTGCCGGCGGCGCTCTCTCTATTTCCGTCTGAAACAAGGTCGAAGTGGCGATTCAGTCGCGGGATTAATTTCAGTATGACTCATTCACTACTCCATATTTCCTTCTTGTTTAGTTCTACATCAGCCGATTCAATTTTGTTCGATTGTATGAGAGTTAGTTGTTGGTTTTATGATTAGGTTTTGTCCTTTTTACTACTCGTAGATTAGATCGAAAGTGCACTTACCGTTTCACGCTTGAAGAAGACCACAAGTTGTATATAATTGTATTCGTTTTGTTTTCCAGCAATTATAAAGGTGAAATAAGCAAATTAGGATAACATAAGCGCACTGTTTAGCTAGTTTATGTAACCCGCATTATGTTTATTATTTAAGCTAGAAGTTCATTAGCGATGCTAAATGGACATTTTGCAGTTGTATGTTATCATTAACGGTAGTTTCATCTTCTATGGATTCCGTTTGCAGATACAATTGATGCACAATATTTGGTAGGAATGCTTTACTTGTTATTGTAGGCATGGCCGTAGAAGATGAGTTAGTGGGTATGCTCAGGCAATCTGAGAAGAAGTCTAGAAAGTTGAAGAACATTAAAGAGAAGAATACAAAGAATAAGAACGCTGAGGGCCATGAAAGCGATAATGCACGTCCAACTATGACTAAGATGCTAGAAAATGCTATCGAGAAGGAAAAGATGGTTGCAAAACTCTCTGATGAGTGCAATGAAGATAGTATTGAGATGGCCAGAATGAAGAAGAGAAAGAGGAAGAAAGAAAAGAAGAATAATGATGTTGGTGCTGGATCATTAGATATTGAGACAGAAAGTCATGGAGGTACTGAAGGTGTTGCTTATCCAAGTGTAAAGAAAACAATTGATGATGGGACAGGAAATGAGAATATTAGCAGTAAAATGCACTCCGCTGATGAATTGGGGGGTTTTCGTGTTTCTAATGTTCTTGAAAAAGGGAATGAAGAAATTAAGGAAGTGGAATTAATTCGAGGTAAGTTTTTCTCTAAAGAAGAAGATGAGATCATCAAAGAAGCTGTTCATAGATACATAGAGGCACATGATTTGGGTGATGAAGGTTTGAATATGGTTCTAAATTCTAAATCCGTCCCAAATGTGAGAGGCTGTTGGAAGGAAATAGCGGCTGCCCTTCCTGAAAGGCCTTATCTTTCAGTATACTTTCGTGGCCAAAAGCTGTTTCGAAAAAGTGATATCCCTTGGACTAAGGAAGACTACGAATTTGTACTGAAGTATCAAGAAAAACATGGGAATCGGTGGTCAGATATGGCTGAGGAACTTGGCAAATTCAGAGTTCATATCCTTAATGCATGGCTCAGAATTAAGTTGCCCAATAGGAAGAAGGGACGGTGGTCTCAAGATGAGTACCAAACTTTATTTGATTTAGTGAATACTGATCTGCAATTGAAGATTTCTGAAGAGAAGAAATCCAAGCATGGTATGTTGCGAGACAATATTTGTTGGATGGCAATTAGTGAAAAATTGGGCACACGAAATAATACATCATGTTGTATGAAATGGTACTACCAGTTAACGTCACCTATGGTGGGTGAAGGTAAATGGACCGATGCTGATGATTATCGCCTAATAGGTGCACTATATGACTTGGATGCAAGCAGCATAGAAAATGTAGATTGGGACAATCTTCTTGACCACAGGCTTGGCGAAGTATCTCTGCAGCGTTGGAAGCAAATGGTTCGTCACATAGGAAACCATGAAAACAAATCATTTGCTGAACAAGTTGAAATTCTGGCACAAAGATACTGCCCATACTTACTTGAAGCAAGGGAGGCATGGGATAGTAAGCCTTTTGTGCCGTGAATCCGTGGATGATCTGTCGTCTTTTCACTGCAAAAAGTCTTCAAGGTAAGATACATGTATGTCTGTGTGTGTGTAAAATCCAACGAATCTAAAGCAAATTGCACTTTGTAGTATGGCAAATTGCACTTTAAAATTAGAGATAATTATCAGAATACTACTGCATTTTTTTCAATTTTCCCTTACAGCTGTTATATCTGTCATGAAAGATGACTATGATTGGTTCTTAGTTTTCTCTTGAAAATAAGCTTTCATGTAGTGTGTCCGTGTGTGTGTGTGTATGGGGTTGATTATGTGAAAAAAAAAAAATCACATAACATTAAAGATGTCCTTGAGTAGGGCAACTCCAACTAAGTTGGTCTGGTGATTTGATAATCACAAGGTTACAAGTTTGACTTTGGAGTAGCCTATGGTCTTCTTAGTTTGAGTCAGTCACTTGGGAGTAACCTTACCTGCATAGCTTGTTGCCCTTTGTTAACTAGGATCACAAGGTGGGATTTACTTAATGCACACCTTCGGGTAATGACTATGGATTTTCCTCGTTACAAAAGAAAAAAAAAAAAATTCTTGAGTATAATATAATATAAAATATAAATATATAGCCTAATTATAAATATAAATTTTTAGTTGAGAAAAAGTATTTGTTGAATACTCAGAATAGTATGTAAGTGGTTCCAGTTGAGCAATACAAGGTCAGATGCAGTGTATTAAGAACGGAATTGAAATGGGGGAGTAAATGCGGGAAGAAGAAGGAAGTGTAGTGCCAAGAGAAAAGTCGCAGGAAGCATCCATCATCCATTACCCATAGGTCTAACATTTCATATTCTTTAATTTATTTCCCATTAAATGCTTTATCTCGTCACAGTGTCACACTGAGACCTGACTCAGATGTTCAGTCTAGTTTTGGGTTGAATGAACAAGCTAGATCACTATATCACTACCATAGGTCTAACATTTCATATTCTTTAATTTATTTCCCATTAACATCATTAAATGCTTTATCTCGTCACACTGAGACCTGGCCCAGATGTTCGGTCTAGTTTCGGATTGAATGAACAAGCTACATCACTATTCACTACGCCGTGAGATTGATGGCGTTATCCTCTAGTCTTGCTAGATGCTCCCAGATTGACCATTTCGGGTTTAACTTAAGTTTCAACTTTGCTAGAGTATATCTTAGACTCTTATAAATTTGGCTAAGGTGCACAAATAATTCTAATTTCTTTTGTTGCTTGTAAACTTTTACACACTATTGATGGAAATAACTTATCAAGTTTTGAGTGGGATTAGAATCCTACCCAGACCATTTATACATATGAAGGTGTCAAAGCATCACAATCCATAACTTCAATTCATAATTTCATATAGAAACTCAAAAACCGCATGGGAGTATATATACTGTATACTCCGTATTATTCATCAAGAAAAAAAATGTCAAAGCATTGCAATTAAAAGTATACATATACTTTTATAGAGTATAATTTTTGTCATATATTCAAATTTTATTAAGTAATAAATAAATAAATAATTGTTATCCTTCAGGCCTGCTACACCAAATGAAGTAAATAAATAGAATATATATATATATATATATATTACATCTTTTGTTCCTTCTGAAGTACTACACCCACAACAAGTCAACAACTTGTCAACTTGATGAAACTTGTCTGCTGTACACCTTGTACTATAGTCCTTTTTTTTTCTTTTTTTTTTTTTTTTTCCTTTTCATTTCTTTTTTTTTTAAGGAAAAAAAAAAAAAAAAAAACTCTCCGTGGTGTGTGTATCCTTGTGTAGTTTTCAGATAAAATAAATACTTTAATTTAGGAGTATTATACATTTTTTACAGTTAGTTTTTACGTATTATTTTATTATATTTAATGCATGTCTTTTAATTTTATCACATTTAATTATTTTAATCAAATGTCTAAAAAAAATAGACATAAATACATAATGCATCGTATTTTCAGTTCAAAACTAAAAAGAAATCATTTTCACAAATACATTTCAATTATTAGTTTCGTCTTGGCATCTGTATTATCGAATATTATTATATGAAAAGAATACAGCATCTAAGAGGAGAAAACAAACAAGGAGAAGAAAACAAGACTTCGATTTGAAACTTTTGTTGGCACTTTAAATTTATATATGTAAAAATTATAATTCAGAAAATATGTATACATTTTTAAGTGAATAATAATATTATTTTGTCTATTAGTTATAATGACATCTTTATTTTTAATTCTTGACTATCAATTTGATTGTTTATGATCCCGTAATTTTCAAATTGACTAAATTCAATTCAAAATATTCTAAATACTTTTGTTCACATCAAACTTCACTCTTATTTACATAATTAAATTTGGTTGTTTTGAAATGTCAAGAAAGTAAAAGTTGTTAAATTAATATTTAAAAATTAAAAATGAAATATTATTATAGTTGTTAAATAAAAATAATAAAAAAATATTTTTTTAAAAAAATTGCTTATTTGGCATTTCGTACATCAGTACATAAACATAATAGCTAGAAAAATATTATATATGTCTCATTGTCTCAAATAATTTATATTAGACGTTTTGTGTGATAAGCACTACAGTACAATTGCTCATATTAAATTAGATGATGAATACTTTGGTTTAAAAAAAAAAACACTAGCTCTCACGTAAAGTTAAACTTTAAACTTTGTAGTTATCAAGTCAATTGTCCGATCAAATCGACCTGTTCCGAATGAGGAATACTTTTGATTGCGTTGAGTTAAATCCGATAATAGAATAACAAAACAAGACAAACAAACATAATAATAAGTATCAAATTCAATAATGTAAAAAAAATTTCAACCAAACACCACCTAAATATAATTCCTTAACTAAAAAGTTATTCTTTTCAAGGTTTTTAGATAAGTGTTTGTTTTGTCCCAAAAGTAAAAATGCTTTAGTCAAATTCATCAATAAATGACAAACTGTAATTTATCAATCTAAATCAATAATTTCACATTCTTGATGAAATAAAATCTACCCCATAAAATGAGTAATATTTATCAAATCTATGTTTTACATGCCTCAATAATTTCTAAAAATCTTTCACATAGATTGAAAGTTCAACATCACTACTGTTCAAACTTCCAACATAATAGCAGTCACAGACTCACAGCAGCCAAGACTGGAAATAATCAGAAGGAACGCCAAAGCTTTATTGAGAAGCTTGGGGGTTTCAAGGTTGAAAGCAGCGAGAAACAAGTATGGAGTAGTATTTCTGGTTGTGGGTCTACTCTGAAAACCATTACTCTAGTCTCTAGAAGGGTCGGTTTGGTCTGCACTGTGATGGGCATTCACTCGATTCATTTGAAAGCAGGTTAATTCTGGCTGCTTTATGCTTTACTACATCAAGATTTGTACATTGTATCTGTGGTTTATAGTTCTTCTTGACACCCGGAATCCATTTTCTCTTTCATGCCGAAAAAGTGAGTCCAGTATAAAAAAGTTAATTGCTTTTTCCTGTTCTCTTTTGCTTTTCCATTTACCACACCTTTTTTGGGTGCTTTCACATTTCGCTCTCATGTATTAGCACTTCAGTTCTCTTGTCAGCATCTTCTTTATTGCCCTGTTTTGTTTGTACCCAAAATTTGTTGGAATTGTTTAGTTTTGGATTTTGTGTTAATCTTGGTTTCCAGGGTTGTAGGTTCTCTAGATCTTTAGTTTTTATCTTTGGTGTGGATGCCAAGATTTTGTTTGGGGCTTTTTCTTTATCTTTTGTGTGGATGACAAGATTTTGTTTGGGGCTTTTTCTTTATCTGTGGTGTGGATGACAAGATTTTGTTTGGGGCATTTTGTTTATGAGCTTTGGGGATTTTGATGATAATGGGAGATTGTAAACCAAACATCCCAATGGTGGAAGAAGAACAAGAAGAAGAAAGCTTAATTGCAGCAGCTCAGAATATAGTGAAGGCTTTAGAGGGGAACACGAATTTAACGAATGATGCTAGGAAAATCTTAGCAGATCTAGGCTCTCAATTGTCCTCCATAATTAGAGTTGGTGAAAGTAACCAGGATGAATCTGAGAAGCAGTTGTGTGAGTTTGAGGAGCAGCTTAATGCAGTGCAGATTAAGGTGATGAATTCGGAGTTAAATCAGTCGATGCTTTGGGACTGTGGAGATGAAGAGGCATATGAGTATTTAAGGTATGTGGATGAAGCCCGAAAGCTGACCGAGAGGCTCGAGAGGCTTTGTATTCAGAATGATTGCAAAGAGAAAGAGAAAGAGAACGAGCTTCTGCTAAGAGCTCATGATGTTCTCCAGACTGCAATGGATAGGCTTGATGATGAGTTTCGGTATTTGTTGGTTCAAAACAGGCAGCCTTTCGAGCCTGAACACATGTCGTTTCGTTCCAGCGAAGAGGATATTGTGGACGAGGGATCTATTCTCTCGTTTGGGGATGACTCTGTTGAAGAAGCGGTCCAAAGGGATAGTGGGAGTCGAGGCTCAGAAGAGTATATAATCGAGCTAGTTCATCCGGATGTGATTCCCCACCTAAGATGCATTGCCAATTTGATGTTCGATTCGAATTATGGTCAGGAATGCTCCCAAGTGTTCGTTAGTGAAAGAAAAGAAGCCTTGGATGACTGTCTCTTCATCCTCGAGCTCGAGAAATTGAGCATCGAGGATGTGATGAAGATGGAATGGAATGTCCAGAGTTCCAAAATCAGGCGGTGGATACGAGCTATCAAGATTTTCGTGCGAATCTATCTCGCAAGTGAGAAATGGCTGGGAGATCAAATCTTCGGTGAGGTTGGGTCAGTTAGTTCGGTTTGTTTTGCAGAATCCTCGAGAAGTTCAATGTTACAGCTTCTGAATTTCTGTGAAGCCATAGCAATTGGCCCCCATCAGCCAGAAAAGTTGATCCGGGTTCTTGACATGTATGAGGCTCTTGCTGATCTTATCCCAGAAATCGATGCATTATATTGTGACGAAGCTGGATCGGGTGTTCGGGTGGAATCCCGTGACATTCTAAGAACTTTAGGTGATTGTGCAAAGGCCACTTTTCTTGAATTCGAAGCGGCTGTTGCTTCCAACATCTCGACCAACCCCTTTCCCGGTGGCGGGATCCATCATCTCACCCGATACGTTATGAACTACCTGAAAGCCCTCACTGATTACACCACCACCCTTAACGAGGTCCTACAATGTAACGAGGAAGAACGTGATGAAAGCTCGTATACTTCTCATATGGCTCAACACTTTAGATCCTTAGTCTCAATCTTGGAATGCAACCTCGACGATAAGTCCAAGCTATACAAAGACGAGGCCCTCGGGCACGTTTTCTTGATGAACAACATACATTACACAGCTGAGAAGGTGAAGCAATCGGAGCTGAGAACCGTGCTAGGCGACGACTGGATTCGCAAGCGCAACTGGAAGTTCCAACAGCACGCGATGAGCTACGTGAGAGCTACATGGGGCTCGATCCTTTCTTTACTGAGGGACGAAGGGGTTCAAAACCCCGGTTCGAATTCTGTTTCGAGAACTCTTATGAAGGAGAGATTGCAGAGCTTCTATCTTGCTTTTGAGGAGGTTTATAAGAACCAGACTGGGTGGTCTATTCCAGACAGCCAGCTTCGCGAAGATCTTCGAATCTCGACGTCCCTCAAGGTAATCCAGGCGTACCGAACATTCGTTGGAAGACATACCAATAGCATCAGTGATAAACACATTAAGTACAGTGCTGACGATTTAGAGCAGTTGCTCTTGGACCTTTTCGAGGGATCTCCAAGATCATTGCATGGTTCTCACAGGAGGTGAGTTTGAAATGCAGGGATAATCAAGCAGGAATTTGATCAAGATTTTTTTGTACCCATAGTTTTAGTATTATAATAAATGATAAAAGAAATGCACATATTTGTAAACCTATAATGATTAACTGAGATGAACTCTTTGTGCCTTTGCCTGAAACCTCTGCATAATTTTTATGGTATGATATGTGTTGTGAAGAGTATGGGGGTGTTTGGTAAATATCTGTTAGCTAGTTGATAGCATTAGCTGATTGTAGAAAGATATTTGGTAAATTAGCTGTTAGTTAATAGCTGATTACATACAAAATGACTTTCTCAAAGCTGATCGAAAAAGCTGCTTTGAAGCAATAAGCTGTTACAAAAAGCTAATGCATTAAGCACTCATATTAGTTGTTTAACGAAGTCAAATAGCTAATAGTGGTCACACAAGTCAAAATTGGATGATAGACTAAATATTTTACCAAACAAGGCATATTTGTATTTGTTATTTAGGCTTGAGTTATTGCATTGTTTTTTCCACTTTTTCATGATCTTCATGGGTGAGAGATTAAGGTGTGTACTTTGCAACTGAGAAGCCTCTTGGTGGAGGATATGGGAAGTGGAACAACTGCAATGATAGTGGTGAAGGGTAATCATGGAAATAGGAATAGCAACAATTATTATGAAAATGTCAAAGCAAGAACTTTGATGGTGGAAATTATGGCTTCCCAACTGGTGGTGTCAACAATGGATTTGGTGGGAGTGCAGGGGCCTCCTCTTATGGTGGTTTGACTTAGTTTACTCATATTCTTAGTTAGACCACGAGCTGTTTTAAATATGTCTTAAATCTTAATTGTAGGAGCAAATTTTTTTGTAAACTAGGATTCATACAGTTGTTTCAACCATTAATACAATATACATTTTTAATATATTATTGTATATTGAATATATATTATTTGATAGTATACAAAATAATGTACTTTCAACATTCAAATAAAATACTTTATGTATATAAATAATGTACTTTTAATATATTAAAAATATGCTTTTTACTTATGATTCATACAGTTGTGTGGACTATGGTTCCTGCCTTCCTGGAATAATGATTGAACTATTAGATGCACTTTTAAGTCCATGCAATACTCAAACTTATTTCTATTCACACCGATCCAACCCAATTAAGAGACAAAGTGCTGATTATATTGATATTTTATACGAGATGGAATTTTGAACCCTAGACCATTTAATTTATTGATATTTAACAATAAAGTGGTGAACGAGAATTATAGGAATGACAATGATAGATTATCTCACCTAAATTTAGGATTGTAAATATTATAATATTACATTTCCTTGTTTTGTTCAATACAATGTGAGGTCCCATTGTCCCAATAGAAAATGAGAGAATTTCGAACTTTGTTTTTAGTTCATTTTTTATAGCATCGATAGGAATTGCATTTTATTTATTTATTTATTTATTTACTACATTTTTAGCTTTTTAGATTTGAGATTCTCGAAAATGTTACTTCGTATATTACTCCAAAAAAATATCTTTTAAACTAAACATCTGTCACCGGAGCTGTAGCCTTTACACAATCGAGGAATTTGTGTGAAAGGATGCTCTGCGGATCATGCATCAGAGTAAACCTATAAAATCACTAGGAAATTGTTCTTTCCGTTTTTGTTTTTCATTCTTTTTTGGGTGTATGAATATCCTTAGCTAAAATTTAAATCTTTTTCACATACAAGGGAAAAAAACACAAAAATTATATCTAGGTCACAACAAACCTATAAGGTCACGGGCTTAACTCACTGATTTAGTAGACATTATTTGAAAGACGAGACCAAGATTTGAACCTTAACAGCGACAATGTGGGGATTATGTGGACAGATATCTTGCGCGCACCGATATTTGACCTAGTCTGTTAAGCCATTGAGTCACCGTACCGTGATTTACATTCTCGATCTTCCTAACTACTCTGTTAGGCCGAGGTGTGAGGCCCTTGAAATTGGGAATTCAACATTTTGAGAAAAGAACTATAAAGGTTTAAAACCATCCAAAAAGCATTTAATGTAAGGGAGAGGGGTATATGCATGATTGCCTACCATCTAAGGTTATCCTCATCCCACAAATTTCTTTCAGTTTCTAAAATGGGTCATACTTCTACATCATCAAATTTGTAATATTTGTTCTACATCCCAGCAATATTCTCTCACTTTCTAAATTGGTCCCATTTTTATATTATATTTCCCATTTTTATATTATATTATAAATATACTAATTAAATAATAGTAAAAGATTAAAAAAAAAAAATTAGTCCCACTTTTATATTATATTGAGTTAATACCCAAAATCGTCCTCGACTATAGTGGCTTTTCTCAATTTCGTCCTAAACGACTTTGGTGACCTAATATCGTCCCAGACTTTTATGTTTCGCTCAATTTAGTTTCATACTTTTGCGTTTTTGCTCAATTTAGTCCCTCATTTGTTATTCTGTCCATTTGGTGTTAAATAAATAGACAATTCAGTAATTTTAATATTGGCATCTCTTTACTCATAGACATGTGAACTGCGAAATCCTTTTTTTTTTTTTACAAATTACTCCCAGAATTACTCATAAAACTGCGAATATAAAATTTGATTTGCAGGTCCGGGAATATAAAAATACGAATTAGTCCCATATTCTTTTTATCTTTTACTATTATTTAATTATTATATTTAAATAATAGTAAAAGATAAAAAAATAATAATAATAAAACGGCGGCTTTTGTCAACAAAAGTGGCAAAAGTTGCCGCCTTGCAGCTTTGAAACAATTAGCAAGCGCTTTCTAACTTTAAAACCACATCAACATTAAAAAAAATAAAAAAAAATGTATTCTCTCTCATGCCATGTCACCTAGAAAGTAGTAAAATTTTTGGGATGAAGTTAGCCTAAGAAGATTGCATATAGCTTAGACCAAATTCTTATTAGACCAAGTTCATCTTTACCTCATATTGTATTTTATTAAACTGTTGTAGAATCACTTTTCAACTCAAACCTGAGCAAAGTAATACAAATTAATGTTGAGTTTATCTTTTGGGACAAAGATTGACACATGAGGATAGGATTGGATTTGCCATTTAAATGATCAACAAAACATAGAATGCCATATACAGTGTTTTTTACAGATTGATATATGCTGCAGATAATATGCCAAGTTAAAAATTCTCAAGCAACAAATATCCACAACAAAGGTACAAAGTACAAAGAAGGGCTTGAACTAGAATGCAACCCCTACTCCATCCCTAATTCCCTACCCTCAAATTTCTGATCAGATAGGCACAAATCAATCACCATTAAACATCACCCTATGCTATAGACCAAGCATCAAACCATCCGGCAACTCCATCTAGGTACTTGTGTGCAAAAAAATTTCACCCTCAATACGAAAATGGAAAGTTCTAGAAGATTAATCTGCAGATTTTAAACAGCCCAGAATGGTTTTGGACCTGCTGGTACATTTGATTTGCTCTGCAATGGCTCTGCAGCAGCTGCATGCTCAATGTCATCAACATCATCATCATCATCATCTCCATATTCCATTAGCTTGACGAGGGTATCTAGTCCCAAGGACCGCAAGAAAGCAACCATAAATATGACATGAATGCATGAAAATAGTATTCTCATAAATCTAAGATGTATAAAATGATAGAAACAAGCCAACATTTTTCACTTTATTACTTTTCAAGAAAAACTAGTGTGCATTTCAAATACTATTTTGATCACTATATTTCTTTGTTCCCCAATTAAGACTGTAAATGTGGATGTAGATGTTAAAACCTAGAAGCTAGTAGCAATGTGATGTTCCTAGAGGGGCACTGGGAAAGTTCAATAACACAAGTGAAATGAGGTTTTTCCCAAATAAATAAAACTAGAGAGTATGAGTGGATAATGTACCAGGGAAGATTTCAGATGACGGTTTAGGGGGCGTATTGTTTTTCCCATGCACTTCAGGGGTTGGTGAATTAAATTTTGGTGGTGGAGGTGGTGCCAATGGCATCACCTTGGGAGGAGGAGGAGGTGGCGGCATTGCACTAGATGATGGCTGGCACAACTTTGCGGGAACAGTTGTGTTATCTCTTGCACCAGCATCTGTATTTAGATCCCGAGGCTTTGGAGGCTGCAAGTCCTGCAACTGATTTTGAGAAGAAAAACCAAACCAGAATCTCCTCAATAATTACAGAAAATAAGATCTAATTGATAATGCAAATAAAACACTCAGCTAACTCTTTCATAGTCATGATCAGAACTCAGAAGTTCCTGCTCCGAGAAAACATGATTTAATACTACAATCATTTAGCAGCAACAGTTGTGAAGAGATATAAGAAAATGATTATGAAGAATTTTATCTTTGAATTCCATGATATGCACATTGGAATTAGCATGCTTAAAGATGACAGATATCCCATAATTAGGTCAGAATTTTATGTCTGAGCTTACTACATTGTGTAAAACTTCATGTAATAATAATAATAATAATAATAATAATAATAATTATTATTATTATTATTATTATTATTATTATAAATAAATAAATGAATAAATGATAACTAATTAACTATGCTCAATTACAATAATTCTTATCACCCCTAAAAACATGAAGTAAATATCTTCTATGAAGGAGGGATTAAACTTTTCATAAATGTTTTTATTGTGTAGTTTTATGCTGGGAAAAGGGTTGCAACAAGTTTAGAGTTTAAATTTGAAGTAAAATATTATTTTGGGTAAATGCAGATGCAAGAGACAAATATGTAACTTCTTTTGTATTTTAGGCAGTTGGTAACGTGTCAGATGGCCTGTCCATCAACAGAACACAGTTAGTGTCAAATCTTGCACTAGCACCACTAAGAGTACTGAGATAACATGCAGCAATTCCATGCAGCCTCCAGATCAAAAATACCCTGTGAAACATACAAATGCCTAATAGGGGTCCAGAATCAGCCTGTTAGCTTCTTAGAAGATCAGAGAAAATACCTGGAATATCAAGTAGTAAAGGTCAGTATAGAAATGAAATTGCATCTTGACTAGAAAAAACATGTAAGAGTTTTATTGTTTCTAGTAATGAAGTATGTAAGTATAACTCTAGAGTTCAACAACTTAAGAAACACTCAATTTCAAAAAGCAAACCTGCCCTCCCCATGCAGAAGAATATATGTGATCGAGATGATTTCAAAATGGCAACACAAGATGTGCTTTAAAAAATATATACGTCAGCAACATTTACCAGTTTAGTCCAAATGTTGATTACTGCTAATGTGGTAAAAAGAAGAGGGGGGTTCAAAAAGATAGATTCCTACTAATGTTTAAACTCCCCAGCCTAATCATGCTTTATGTAATGTCAAGCAAGCTATTTCTGAGAAGACATTACATGACTTCTTAAGTGTGCCACAAATATATAATGATTACTATCATCCCCACAGCCTTGAAAAAAAAAAAAAAAAAAAAAAAAAAAGACCATGAGAATTTGCATCCAATTGTTCCATAAGTGCCTTCATAACTTCAAGTGGATGACAGGAGTGCCTTCATGAAACCTCATTCATGAAATTATTGCATTGTTCAACCCCATCTCTGTTTGATGAGTACTAGACATAAACTTGAAGATAATGGCCATTGGCCTCCAGCCATTAAGATGAAACAAGGAGAACCACTAGTACCTGATGGGGATTAGCTGTGCCCTTTCCTGTAGCAGGTAATTCCCGAAATTTGCGTTTATGTGGTGGTCGCTCTTCCTTCTGGATGGAGGATATCGTACTAGCTGGAGGCTTGGTGTTTACTGCTGTTGTTTCTGGAGAGACTGCAGCTGTGACAGAGGTAGACTGCCTAAGGGCTAAGGCAACTTGTTGCAAGGGTGTGACTTGGGGATAAATCCCACCATAACCCATATAGCTTGTTCCACTTGAGATTGACATATGGGGGTAGTAATTCATGTTTGGTTGAGATGGCAGTGCATTCAACGAGCCTAAAGACTGAGGTACAATTCCTTGAGAAACATTACTGTCCATACCAGGAGCAGTAACTGAGGGAACTGCTGGTACAGATACACCTGTACTTGCTGCATTCAAATTAGCAGCTTGAAAATTATTTGCTTCCAACTCATTTCCCAAACTCTTACTTCCAGCCAATAGCTGTGGTGGGGGTGGAACAGCACCATAGACTTTAGAAGAAGACACCCTATTTTGTAAAAATAAGACCCAATAAAAATGTTAGAATTGAAGAATGATGATAAATGACTCAACAAGTAATGTGGGAAGCTGAATTGTACAATTTCCAAAATCCACATAATTCTGTTTCACAAGTTCACTTGAAAATTTAATAATCACATTTTATCCATGAGACAAATGAAATGTAATACCTAGAAGTACCAAACTCGGCAGCTATGGTATCCAACAGATTTTCTGCCAAAAGCTTTGCACGCTCGAGACTTTTTGGATTATTGCTTGATAGGAACAAATGCAGTGGTTGATTTGCATCTGCAAGTAAGGCCAGATGCAGAATCAGCAAATTGCAGAATTAGACCACAATAGTGCACTAATAAATAAATAAATAAATAAATAAATAATAATAATAATAATAATAATAATAATAATAATAAAGATATAATTGCAATACAACAAACAATTACCTTCACCCTGTACAGGTTCGGAATCTCCTGAACCATGCCCTCTTAACACAACAGTTGCTCCTGTTTCATTCATAATGTGATTTACATACTGGTCCTGCACTTACAAAAAGCCAACCACCAGCAACAAAAAGAATCTCTCCCAATGGACGGAGAAGTCAGAGAAAGCTGAGGACATTAGAATCTCTTGTCTTTCTTTTATGAGCAAAATAAAAATTTCAAAGAAATTCATCAAGAAACATGCATGTGAAGCAAATACATCAACATAGAATTAAAATCACAAAAATTACTCAAAAGATGGCTACTGCACCTTCACTGTGATGAATTCAATTAATAAAGAAAAATAACAGAAATTGCAATTGGCCACTCTAATAGAAGTGCTCTTTCCCCTTTCTATTTCACCACCCAGACCAACAGCCAATAATAATAAATGTATGTATGTGTCTATGCATGCATGTTTGTGTATACAGGTATCCAAGAAGAAAATGGGGAGGTGAATGTGGGAGAAAAGCTCACATTTGGTCCTCGAATACGAGCAGCAATATTCAAGGATGTTTCAGCCTCAAAGCCCACATAGACACAGGTACTCATGGAGGGATTAACCTGACCAGAATATCCTAAATTAATCATTGCATTAATCTTATTGGTTAAAGTTTTCATTGACTTTTAGAAAAAGAGACCTTCAATCCATTGTTCACTGAACCCTCTTTCAGCATTTCCTCCACGATTGCTGCTGCATGATCAACTGCTTTGATCCTTTCCACTGTTGTTTCTAACTGAATCAATAATATAACATGAAAAGTACACCAGAATCAGAATATATAACATTTCTGATAAAGTAGATCATGCAAATATTAACTCCTAAGATTAAAAACAACAGCAATACTACAAAAGTAGATGAGGTAGCATAAAATATACAATGATGTCAGTGCCACATACTATATATACAGCTTTTAATAGTGAAAGCATTCTAAGGATGTTAACTAAGCAAGACCCCCATAGGTAATGCACTTGAGCAAGCACCTAAAAGCAACTGACAGTAGATAATTTAACTTAAGCAGAGGAAAATATACAGAAGCATGGGTAGGAACAGTTATCAAGTCTATTACAGGCATACAAGAATACATACAAACTCCATAAGACACAAAAGACTAACAAAACCAACCACAAAATCTAAAATATATAACACCATTTTACAATGTTCTTAAACATACAAATGAGGAATAACAATAACCACCCTACTTGCAAAAACAAGAAAATAACCAAAACCAATGCAGATAATAGGAGCATGTTTGAACTTTAAAAAGGTATCAGGTGATTCTTTTATGAAATGGTGCATCACAGACTCCAGAAGACAAGGTGTTTACATGTGTTCCAGCGGAAATGTGAAGATATAGTGGTTTTTCACCATCAGGGGGTGCATTTGGAAGCCTGTACTTGCCCCTGCAAAGCCATTTTGCAAATGCATTACATGATGAGGAAGAAAAGACACTAAGAAATAAGCCACATATAATGTTCCTACATACCTAGTTATTACCACTGCACCTGTGCTCTTCTGAATCTGACATAAAATAAAATAACAAGCATATTGATTTAGCATCAATTACCATTGCATAGATACCAAGTATAATAGATGTCTATGTCTCAAACATAAAATTTTTTATAGCAAATATCAATTTCAAATTATAATATCACCTCTTCCTGGGTTTGGCGCTTTGTGAGTTTGTAACGAACAGCGGAGTCAGCATCATTTATGACAATCTCTCTTGCTATCAACTCATCCTGGATCTTGGGCTACAATAGTTTAAAAGTTCATGAAGAAAATGTCATAAAATTGAAATAAAATATAGATTTGCAAAAAGATTTAGTGGCCAACAAACATTGATTGTGATGGTTAGTAAAATCTAGCATAATGGAAAATAGAGTCAGTGACTATACAAACCTTTCCCTGCTGAAATCAAAGATCAAATAGAATGTTACGTGAAAGACATAGCACTCCAAGCATATATAAATTATCATAAAGTTTTCCACTTTCTCTGATTATATATTAGACATCCGTATATCGTCATTTTTGTTGGGTACATTTGACAGGGACCAAAGTAGTAGACCTGGAAAGGGTCTAACTTACCATCAAGCTACACCCTAAACCCCACAAGTGTATCGTAAGAGAGATTTTATGGAAGCATAAGTGACAAACTGGTAATCACTCAAGAGATCTTACTTGATTTAATTTTTGAGCAAGAGCTACAGCATGTTGCTGAACGGAAGTTACACCATTCGATGTGAGGGGAGCTGCTAAAAGAGTGCCGCATACTGGAACTATTCCTGGTGGCATGATACCAACAAAAGATCCAATGTTACTGAAAGGAAGAAGTGCAGGCTGGCATCCTCCAGCTGAAACCAATGGCTCTGCAGGTTGATCCCACTTTCTCTTTTTTCTGCAAGAGATCATTAAACTTTATCATCCATTATTAACATGTAAACTGTTCTAGTTGGAGTACATAATTAAATATGGCCTTCTTCTTTGTTACTTCAATTTCCACACAGTTTGGGTAAACAAGAATCCAGTTGAGTTCTAAAAATATTAGTTCAACAACTTAGATGTATAAACTTATGGAATCGCAACATTTTCTTCAACTTTGCATTTTGGAACGAGCGATTACTTGTAATATATGATGAGCAACACAAGAACTAATCTCTCTAATAATAACAATAACAGTAAATACATAAAAGAATAATAAAGTTTTAGACTTTTATCAGATTTGGAGGGTGAGATACTGAGATTCAAATTCTAACTGAGTCAACGAAAATTCATTTGCAAATCGAGCAGCTACAAAGCTAAAATTATAGATCTTTGCAAATTTGTTTGCACCTCTGTTTGACCGTTGAAGGATCAGTAGACGAAGCGGTTTCGGAAGACGAAACCCTTGGGAAGCTATCCTCCGTCATTTGATAATCGATTGTCGATGTTAAAATTTTTCCCACCGATTTCCCTTTAGAATAATCAGCTGCGCCGATTGAACGGAGCGTAATATACTGGACGAGCGTCTATAATCGGGTCGTCGTGGTGGTGAACGACGATGAGGAATATGTCGGGTCAAAATGGCGGGTGATCCGTAACCGAGGAGTGCAACCCGCCGGTTAGCCAGTCACCACATTATACTTTACTACTCCGTACAATTTGGAAAAGTCCCTCAATTATTACGGCATGTTTAGCTAATGACTGATCCGTCCAAATTTTAGTACGTCTGTCAACTTTAACGTTTTGATCATGGTCAAAACGCTAAAGCAATCATTTAATAAATCGGTGCAAGTTAATTTTTGGATTTTTGTGGATTACTTCTTATAAATAAATGAGACATTATTAAAAGTATAAGTGCAATATTTAACAATAGATGGTATTAGTGATGAATACATATTTAAGTTATGTATATGTAGATTCAGGGCTTGAGACATCATATGTGTCATTGAGAAAATAGAATGATTTTGTCATGCTCAATTAATTATGTCCTAATTATTAGAAGAGAGAAATAATTTGAGGTAAAAAAATTTGAGTCATTTGCTGGGATTGGCGTTTTGGGGAAAGAGATCTCTTGTGGAGATTTTATAGGTCGTCCCCTGGATGGCTTCACGGCTTCACTCTAGGCTCTTCTTGGTTCCCTTTGAACCTTATACTGTAGCCAAGATTCTAAATCTACCACAAAAGCTAGATCATGAGTGGATGTTTGACCCCAACTTAAGTACCAATTCACAATATCTTGTGGAGCCAATGTGGGATCGTATAATTAAATCATTAAAAAAAATTATTACTATTAAACATGGTAGCTTGTGTGCATTCGTGTAGTAGTTTGTATGCATTTACGAAGGATATGATCTCACGAGACTTACGAGAACAAGTGAATGCAATTGAATATATATATATATATATATATATATATATATATATATATATAGGAATTATGGAACAACGCAAGCATACACAAACAAGTATTCAAAATAATAAATAAAGAATTGGGATGAGGAACATGTGATTCTAATGTCATCCTATGGATTAAGGGGAGACAAACACAATTTTGAGTTTCAAGATCACCATCGAATGGTGGGAATTGTCCCACTGTTGTGATGCATTAATTCCCTGAACAAAAGCCCAATCAATCTAAGGTTAACATTATCCCTGCAAATCTCTCTCACTCTAAAAAATTGGTCCCACTTTCACATCATCCTATTTGCAACTCATCTACTATTCATACTACATCCCTAAATCTAATCAACTTTCAAAAGTCGACCCAATATATTAAAATAACATTATTAATTATATTAAAATATTAAAAAGTACAAAAAATCAAATAAAATTTTTTAAAAAAATTACAAAAGCTGCCGCGGCTGGTTTGCAAATTTGCTTGCAGTTCAAATTTGCAAACCCATTTTATTAAAAAAAATAATGTATATGTGGCTTTGCCACATCACTTTGCAAAGGAGAGTTTGGCTGGGATGTGGACAGCTTAATTAATCCCTAAAATTTCATACTTTCACATAGGAATAAAAATGGGTTGCAAGAGGGGGCTATGAGAATACCAGTCCAACTTCCGTTTTGATTGGATTCCCAACAAAATTAGTGCTAAGAATGTTGTGCACCACACCTTAACACAAGATCGAATACACAAAATCTCCTACAACATTTGAACCCTAGATTGTGTTTTACCCCCTCTTTTGCAATATATGTCAAATAGGCATTATAATCTAATATGAACCTCAACAAGTCCTTACTAGGATTATATTACTCTCTCATGATTTTAGCAAATAAAGCAAAGATATTAAAGCAAGACATCTTATTGAAAACAATAAAGAGTAATAAAGCAATAAATAACGACTTATCTTCAAAATATAAAGAATATACAACTTCTTTTTGAGATTGAATCAAAAAAACATAAGAATCTACCATTTTGGGTGAATGAAAAAAATGTTTTATTGGTTTAGGGTTCGAGACCTCACTCTACACTCTACTCTCTACATTACTATTCACTCTCCCTTTGGACTTTGTATTTCATATATATGAAAATAACAGGTTTAGTCGTACATCAAGTGTTGGCGCATAGACATAGACACGGGCGTTCCAAAGCCCGTATATGGAGATGGTTACGTCATGGGCAATGCACACACACACTAGAGGTTATTCAACTCGCTCAATGGGCAATGCCCTAAGTGCCCTTGCTAGTTAGATACATAAAATTGAAGTTGTGGTTTATGAAGTAATTGGGTGTTTGAGTTAAATGATTTGAGAGAGATGGAAAATATAAATTTATTCTTTTAGTTGTCAATAGGTTTACAGTATGTAAACGGAAAATTAAAAATAAAAATATATATATAAGTAAATGTGACAATTTTAAAAGATTAAGATCGACTAACAACATTTTTCTTGTTTGTTCCCCTTCTTGCACGGCTACGCATCCGGACTACACACTGTATAGTGCAGAACAATTGAACATCATAAATCCTTAGTTAAATAATTCAGGCAAGCCATTATGTTGGAATTCATAAATAAGCTTTCATGGAATCATGATTTTATTGTTAATACTTTCTCTTGTGGAGATTAAGTTTTACTGAGGCTCCACTGTACTTATTGATAGGGCCGGCTTTTAGATTTTTGTGGTCCTGTTCGGATAAATAAATAAGGCCCTACCAAAATTAAAATCAATAAAATTAATACCGTAATTTTATTATCTAAATGTATAACAAAAAAAAAAAAAATTATTCGTGCATCGCACACACACTGCACGGATAATTGGGTAATTATTTGCTCGAATTTAAGCAAGGATAACATAAAAAAAAACATAATCGATACAATCCATTTCATCAATTGCACTATATAATATTCGTTGTTATAATTTTAAAATTATAACAAATCTTTTCCGTGCAACGCACAGGTAAAAATAGACATATTATGAAATAATAATAATAGTGTGCACAAGTTTTGAACTTTAGACCTCAAAGTTAAAATACAATAAATACATGTTCCTACCATTTCTTTATAAAACCTTTTAAATTTAATTAAAAACTTTTAATTTTCATTTCTAAACTAACTAGGTAAAAATAAAATATTGAGCTTCTAAAATTTGGGGCCTTCTAAAATTTGGGGCCCTGTGCGGTAGCCCAGCTTGTACAGCCCAAAATCCGGACCTGATGGTTGCGCATGAGAAACACAGCGCCCTCAGCCTCCCGACGAGGAATTAAAGTCGCGGAAGCAATACAATTAACAGAAAAGACAATTATACTGGCTACTAAAACTAGGATAAAGGTATTACCCACCCATACCCCAAAAGACTCTAAAATAGAAGGTGCGAAAAAAACTAGTAGATCTAAAGCAATAAACTGAGGTAGTATAGCCATTTGCAGTTTAGCTAGGACACCTCTAGTTACTAAACGTCCTCTTTGGGGTTCATTTCCCCAAATTCTCATCTTTAATGATGCCAACAAAATAAAACATGCAAAACAAACTAAAGCATAAAACCCTACCCACCAAAGTTTTGGAAAGTATCTAAAAATAATAAAATTTATTAAATGAGCTATAACTCCCCCACATAAATTAGACATGTCAAACCACAAGTCTAATCTAGCTCTCTCGCCCTCGGGAGAGATTTGTATCAAATGTATCGGAAGAGCCTGCACATATTGTGTGCAAATTAGTATATATACAAAAAAAAAAATGGACAAAATATAAGTATTAGATTAAAAATTAAAAAAAAAAAAAATTACCTCCCGAACAATTCCAACACCTAATCTAATCATGAATACATAGAGACTCAGGTGTGGAAAGTGCGCGCACTGCACACAACAGCCCCGTGATTACTAATACGGGCCCAATAATCAAATTGAGCCCGCATAGCCACTCACCCACAATTAATCCTGTGATTGTCCCAAAATAGACAAATACGTGCATCCAAAATACCAAACTGTCTGTATATGTACAGAAATTTGATGTTGCTGCCAAGTTGGATTTGATATATGCCGACGTCGATAGAGTAAACACATACACGGACATGTTTATCAATCCACCTAAAAGTAATCACAATGTTAAAAGTTTAATTTCATACAATGCAAGCACATAATACCACATCTAAAATAATTTAAAATTATACTTATGAATGGTTGTAGAAAACCACTCATCATCCCTACAATCACGTTCAAGACTCTTAAACTCCGTGCATTAACCCGTCTAAAATTTGAATATAAAAAAGTTAATAATAAGTTTTTATTACTCAATGTTAATCAAGAACAATGTCAAATCATGTGTTTTATACAATTAACCCCCCAATTATCCGTGTAGTGTGCGTGCGATGTGCGTGCAGTGTAATTTTTTTTTTGTTATATATTTAGATAATAAATTACGGTATTAATTTTATAGATTTTAATTTTGATAGGGCCTTATTTATTTATCCGAACAGGACCACAAAAATCTAAAAACCGGCCCTGACAGCCATAGTCTTGTGTCAGGTATTTAATTAATTTAGTTTTAAGTTATTTTTATTAGTTATTAGATTAATTTCATTATTAATTTGTTATATCAATTTTTTGCTATATTGCAGTGTGTGATGATTACCATTTCTCGTGTTGCCATGATCACTAAAAACCACCTTCAGTATCCATACACTATATATGCTTGCATAAATTTTCTAATGATTTATGTGATACACGGGATAGTGAGTGGTCCACATGGATGGACCACCCATGCATATCCTAGAGAGAGGGAAAGATCATGCCGTGCATGAGAATTGGTGTTGAGTCTTTCTCTCCAAGCCATCCTTGCTTCAATCATAGCAATCGTGATTTGTGGTCTACAAAAGTAGATTTTTGTATATATGACTGCCGTATTGATATGCAGGAACCAAGTCCTTGCTACAATAAAATGTGGTCAGCACAACCATTATCCAAGATCCAACAAGCAACCATAGAATTTTTAGCTATGGGCATACTAGCAACATTAGAAATATAATATACTTGCCTGCATGTATATTATACTTCACATGCTGCCATATATAGCAATTGAACTCTAACATACATGATACATTGTTTTTTCAACCCAATCTCCCAGTTATCATCACACAACTCCTGCATATCTGCCTGCAAATGGCATGAGAAATCATGGTTTC